GGAGAGTTTAAATGACCTCTCTGGTAAAGGGTTTCACTTTATGACCAAAAGTTGGCTGCTGATAGTTATCATTGTATTTTAACTACTTTAATTCCTCAAGGTGCTCTGGCATCCTGCCTGATTTGAAACTCCGGCTTGCTGGTATCTTTAATCTAATGATTGGTATTTAGGGCAGCTTTTTGCAAGCAAAGAAGCTTTTTGTATTTTTGTACAGGTAATCCTTGACTTACAACAGTTCATTTAGTGACCATTCAAAGTTACAATGGCACTGAAAAAAGTGACTTATGACCATTTTTCACATTTATGACTGTTGCGCCATCCCCACTGTCATGAAAGGCCAGGCGAGGAGAAGCGCCCTTTGACGTGAGTGATGTCGAGTTTACCATGCCCACCCAGTCACATGACCAGCAAGCCACACCCACCCACTAAGCCAAGCCACAGAACCAGTTGTTAAAAAATTTGAATCCCACCCATGAAACCAGGCCATAGTAAGCAATTCATTTGCTAGCTTAATGACAAAGGCAAAAAATTGCTTAAAATTTATGACATCGTTGTAAAATTTTACATTAAAAGTAACGTTTTGTTTTTTAAAAAATGTAAAATTGGGTCAGTCATGAGGGTGACCCACTTTCTGACCATCACCACTTACAACTGTAATGAGCAGGCTCCATTATGGTTGTAAGTTAAGGCTCCATTATGATCATAAGTTAAGGACTACTCATACTGCTTAATTTCCAGTAGTCCTTGCTAATGCTGTGAACGTTGGTATCTATTTCTACTCAGAAGTAACTTCAGTTAATTTAGTGGAGGCAATCCCAAATATGTGGCAGTCTCTATCAGTGTTTCTCAACTTAGCAAGTATAAGAATTCTGAGAATTGAAGTGCACACATCTTAAAGCTGCCCAGGTTGAGAAATGTAGATCTGTATCACTAGCAAAGGTTTTTCTGATTTTCTCCACCTCTTTGAGTCTGCTTGCAATTTAAACAGATTAGAATTAATTCTGCCAATCAGTCCATTTGTTTTCCTCACAAAGAAAGCCCAGTAAGATTATGACAATTGAAAACCCTGAAATTAGTTTCTGCTGGAATTTTAACTCAGAAAACATGTGTGTCAGAGGTGGTATTCAGCAGGTTCTGACCGGTTCTGGAGAACCGGAAGAGGGAGTAGTTCGGAGAACCGGCAAATACTACCTCTGTGTGGAGATTTTACAGTATCCTTCCCCTATCAAACCCACCAAGCCACGCCCACAGAACCGGTAGTAAGAAAATTTGAATCCCACCACTGGGGTCCGTGTGTTTGTGTGTGTGTGAAAGGGGGAGAGAGAAGGAGAGAGAATTGATATTTTTTTGATCTGTGAAGTGGTTTGTTTGTTTTTTATGTCTCAAATCTAAAATAATCTTTTGCATGCAGAAATCTCTGTGCCTTACTTCTGGGTTCAGTTTTGCATTGAGATTCATACCGATCTATCATGCATTCTGCCATTCATTTCTTTCCAGGCTCATTTTGAGAGAAAACAAAGCCAGATAGCCTTGACCTATAACTCTTTGTTTAACAACTGGTTTGGTTAGCATTGAAAAAAGCATTTTACCACTGGTCCTCACATTTACCACCTCACGGCATCCCTACAGTCACTCGATCCAAATTGGGGTGGGGGGGTGGGGGGTGCTTGGCAATTTACATATATTTACCACAGTTGCTGTATTTCTGTGGTGGAATGTAGTTGTGGGAGCAAGGGGCTCTTTTCCAGAAGGCAAAGAGAAAGCAGAGCTTGCAATGCCTGGTATGCAGGAAGAGGGCAAAGATGGACCTCTCCCCAACAGTTCACATAGTATATTTACTGTATAGTTTTGCAGATAATTGCTTTTTAGTTTTGTGAGATTTTTGTCCATAAGCAAACAACAAAAAGGAAATTGCTCAGAATATGTTCTGGGTTGTTGGGGCTTGACACATGATGACCTTCCCAGGGGGCTTCTGACAAGCAAAATCAGCATGAGGGGCTAGATACACTTAAAGATTTGCTTTAATAATTGCTGCAAAAAAGATCATAAAATAGGGTGCAATACATTTAATGACTGCGTCGCTTGGCAATGAAAGTTGTGATCCCAAATTCGGTCGTAAATCAAAGATTATCCCAGTAGGAGTGAAAAGTCTCACTGGAGTTCTGATCCTGGCTTGGTTCAGCCTGGAGGCACCAAATTACCTTAGATAAATGGTCTACCTTTCGTGTTACAATCCTGTCATTTGACTGTAAATACAGTGATATGCGTCTGATAATGCATAAGTTTACAACTCATGTTGTCTGCGGAAGGAAAAAAGCCATCTTGTAATTATGTCTTTCTTAGGACTTGTTTTCCACTCTTACATACTTCCCATGAAATGAGATTGACAATCTGTGTTCATATTATTGATAATAAAGCCATGTATATTCTACTAAAAAAAAAAAAGTAACACAACCAAGGAAGCTCCATGAAACTTATATAGTAGAGAAGATAGAAGCTATTCCATCCAGGATGCCGTAACTCTGAAAACACACAACCAACTCGTGCAATTAAACCAGTTAGGTTTGTAAGCCAGATTTTGTGCTTTGGCCTAGAATACACAATGGTGTTCGATAAACCACAGAAAAACAATCTATAAGAGGGGTGTCAAACTCAAGGCTTGGGGGCTGGATTCGGCCTGCAGGGTGCTTAGATCTGGCATGCAGGGCTGCCCTGGAAACAGCAAAGGACCAGCCCACAGTGCCTCTGCCAGTGAAAATGGAATTTGGGAAGGCAGTATGCTGCCAGTGAGGTTGCAGGGGGCTGTCGCAATGAAAAATTGAGCTCACGGGGGCCATGCTCCAAAATTTGTTTTCACTAGCAGAGGGTTGCAGGAGGCCGTCACAACCAAAATGGAGCTCAGGATTCCGTTTTTGCTGGCAGAATGCTGAGGTCACCACAGGCACCTCCAATACAAGTGATGTAGAGCTGGTCACGCCCACCCCAGCCCCCCAAGGTGAAACATAACCCTGATTTTCACTCAGTGAAATTGAGTTTGACATCCCTGATCTATAACTTAACATAATTTTTAAACCCATCCCCATTCCCCCCCCCCAAAAAAAAAGAAACTCAACAAGGAGTTGTGTAGACGCTGCGGTGTTTTTCTTTTTGTCATTTGTCATGCTGTCATTTGGATACTTTTCAAAAGCCTTTAAAATATCTGGGAAATTCTCATTCTGCGAAAGCGTCCAGGATTTCTTTTTCAGTGAACGGTGATGATTTGAAGCATTTCTTTGTGATAATGCCATGACTGTTACAACCTGGAGAAGCCAGGCTTATTGGAGCTTTAGTGCTGTCTAGTGGCCAATGCTTGTGTGCCTCTGTTTCAGAGATTGTATAGGATTTGACTTTGGATTTTATAACAAGGAGAGCAAAGCTGTTTATCAATTGAGTTTCTAGATATCAAGTTATGTTCATCTTATAATAAGAAACTACTCTCTCAAAAATGTGGTCAAACACTCCAGTGATCATTGCAATACATCTTTATGTTTTATCCTGTTCTGTCCACCTTTATCATGTATGCAGGGCAAGAGTTTGTGGCAAAATACACACATACAGAGAAACACACAAAAGAGCAAGGCTAATTTGATTGGTACCTGAGTGGTATCTTTTTCTAATGCAATATTCTGTATAGGTACCTAAAATTACAATATTGAACGTGTTTGGCAGAATAAAATTCTTAGGGAAGAATATCAGTTTTTTATTACTATTATTATTTTGTCCAGAGCAATATTGAGTTTGGTTTGTATTGTTTTTGTGTTTTTATTTATGAACTGCCAAGAATTAATTAGAGTTGGATAGTATCTAAATTGAATCAAATAAAATCAATTATTTTAAAATTAAAAATTATGCTTTTTTTAAAAAAACGGAGCCTTTGGATTTGCAAGTAATAGTACCATAGAAAGTGGCTGTGACTAGTACAAAAACTAAATTAAAGTTTAACTCTCATGTTTCTAATAATTCTCCCCTTTTATCATTTTAAAAATTACAATTTTTAGGGGCTTTGGGGTCACATCTAAAGTTTTAGGAACCTTAAGTTGTGAACCTCTGTGTTAGGTTGTATCAACTAAGCCAAAAGCTTGCAAAAATAAGTCCCTCAACCAATTTTAAAAAGTGGGTTATTTTAAAAGTTATCTGATTAATTGGCAACACTTTTCTTTAAAAAGTGAAACATTTTCATTACTCTAATTGAGTTACTGATGAGTGGTGTAAATCTATTCATGTCAACTCAAAAATAAATCCCATTAATTTTAATGAACGTTTCTTTTAGGCAATTCAATATATTCTTAAGAGTCATGGTGATAGGAAAAGGGCATTTATGAAAAGTAATACTTTTGGTTAGAAATTGAAATTGATTAGCATACTTAATACATGTTGAGTTTACTTTTTATAGACTTTCCTGTAGTTTTTTTGCATATGCAAACTAACATCTTAGTTGTAGAAGATCACAGGATCACCTTACAATATTAACAGAAATTGAAAAATTCATAAAACAGTGTTGTAAAGGCAGATTCTTTTTCTTTCAGTTATATCCAAGGACATAAACAAGTCAGTTTTCCTAACCTGTTTATAGATATTACATCATTCACCCATTTGTTATGTTTAACAAATGCTTCTCAATTAATTTGGTACCCAGTTTTGCTTTTAATTTCTGGTGGTACTGTCTGATGGGGACCTCAGTAGAGAAAAGACTAAGATGGTATCAGGGTGCATGTTCTCCAAAATTAAGAGATGGTATTGTCCAAACCCTATCAATACTGCCATGCAGATACGCCATTAAAAAAATAATACTTTTTTGGTCATGGTGAAATAGTCATCCTTGTCTACTTGGTTTAGGCATAAATATCACCTTCAATATTCCTTATACAGAACTAAACAACCCTATCAATACTTAAAACTTATGGAGAACAAAAAATGTTCAGGTACCCTCGGTTTCATTCTGTTCTGTCCTTTGTTCGCAGGTACCAGTATTATCTTCAAGTAAAAAAAGATGTTATTGATGGACGATTGCGCTCTTCCTTTGAACAAGGGATAAGGTTGGCTGCATTGGCTGTTCAAGCTACATTGGCAGCTCAAGGTACAGTGAGCACATTGCCCATTCTTTCCCCTCTTATCTATTTATTTAAGTATAACAATATATTCCTATTAAACCAGAGATGGCAACCCCCTAGGGAGAATTTTGACACTGAATTTCATTCTTAAAAGCATAATATTGTATATTTTGGAAACATTAGTGGCATTAAGTGGCAATAATTCCTGAAATGAATGACTTATTCATTTGAATGAGCCATTTTCTCTGTTTACTGAAGTGGAAATTTTTAGGATTCTTGCAAGACACAGAGAATGAAGATCATAGTTAAGATGCATTTTAGTTTGAGACCTTATGATATCCTAACAGAGCATGCAAATAATTATTTTTGTACTAATGCCATAAATGGGATACTCATTCAAATTTATTAGTGAACTGCACTAGAAAAAGGATAGTGGATCAGGGTTAGAAATAAATAGGATGGGGCTTGAATTCATAGTTCATGTTTTTTTCCTCCAGCACTGCAGCATTAGAAAGTGAGTTAAAAAGAAGGCTGGTCATGTATCACTTTAGCTACGCTATCTCTGTTCTGCTTCTACCATTTCTCATATATTTTACATGAATTTCTGCAAATATAATGTGTTTAAGCAATGGATTTTACAAACATAACAAGTTTCCTACCACATTTATAAAGCCCAGGCTTGCAAACTCCCTTCACACTTTTACACACTAGAGGAAGACTAATTAAAGTTACTCAGAAATCTAACTTGGAAAGTTATAGATTGCTAACTATGGTTAAGGGGAATAAATTAGGAAAAAAGGTGGTTTCTGCTTCTGCTTTGTTCTTACTAATCAAAATTTTAACTAATTCATTGTCTTTAAACATTGTGAATTATTTTCTCAACATCATAAATAAATATTTAGTATAAAATAGGATGTTTGCATCTCTCAAATTAGCTACAGCTCTATCACATATGAAATCATTGTTCCATGTATCAATTAAATGAGGTATGTTTTCTCAAGTCGTATTTGCAAAACCTTGATTATGGATTGAAATGAAATATGTCTTTATTATCAGAACGATATGAGCATTCATAAATTCATATGCTCACATTTTTATTTTAAACTATTGTTCTTGACTGAAACACAGAAAATTCCTAAAAGCTTTTCTTTAGTACTCTATATCATTTTTATTGTTTATATACATACCTCCTTAGTGTATTCAACAAGTTTGTATTTATTGGTTATTTTTAAAAATGTGTATTTATGATGTGAAACAAAACAAAATAATATAATGTCAAATTTCCCTTGTGGGTTTGTAGGAATATTTTGTTTGGAATAATTCATAAGGGGAATTTCCAGTATTGAAAATCTTTGGCAGACTTTGACTCAAATACCGACACACGTGGCAGACAGAGAGGCGTGGAAGCAGTACTCAAGGACATTAGCGGACCTCGCCCGAGCGCGAGACAAATGCTGAAGAAAAAGAAGAAGAAGAAGACTTTGACTCAAATAAAATAGAAAGAAAGCTCCTGGGCATTTTGCCCCTCTCTCTTAAGTATGAAACTGTTTAAAAAGAGAGAAATGGAGAATCTTTCATAAAAATATTGTGAAAGAATATTTTTTAAGACTACATACTTTAAGAAGTATTTTCACTCTTTTTCTCCAATTCCAAAACTTATATAAAGCAAAGGAAATGTTTTATAGGAATGTCATTCTATGTTAAATGCAAGTAAAATATAGGGTGAAGTCAATTGACCAGTGGGAAGACTTCCACTAACATAATGAAACCTTTACTTTTGTCCACTTTTCATCAAAAACTTTGGAACCATTGGAAATGTTCAAGCATGTATACAGTGGAAATTATTTCTGTTACCACAGGATTACAACAGGTCACTACTGCTTCCAAAGAATAATCCAGCACTGTTAATGTATAAAATAGGGAAAGGAAGGAATTCAAGTATGAATTTTTGTTGCCCCATCTATTTGAAAGATCTAAATCCCCTTCAAGAAAAAAAAATGAATACAAGCCCCAATGATCTCATGACTGTACTTTTTAGATGGGGCAAATGGTTTTGTGTTTTCATAGTCAAGGATTTCAACCTGCTTCCTCCAGGTTAAGCTGTTGAAGTACCTTTTAGGAAAGAATTCCATATGCAGTAAAAGCTGAAGCAATTTATTTCTCATTCCTCTTTCTTTTTCCCATCCAGCTGGCTTTGGAGATTACCCTCATTTTGAATCTCATGATCTCCGACAGTATGTTTTGTTTCCTATGGTGAGTGAACTCCCCATCTTCCCACAATCCATTCTATATGTATTTATTTATTTAATTTGTATTCACTGCAATCAAAAGAGACAATTCTTTAGTGGCAAATTGACAATTCCCATGTGTGGATTAAAAATACAATCAAGTATCCACAGTAAAAATGGAACAGAGATTAGAAATAATATTGAACTTAAATGTGGTGCAAATGAAGGAATTTTCATATTGGGGGAGCCAATGTAGTCTAGTGATGAAGTTGTTGAAAACCTTACATATCTGTATCAACGTTGTGTGAGGTTTATGATTACTGGAAGGAGAAGGAGGAATTATGAATGCTGTCATGCTCCTGTTAGAATCTGACTCAGAGGGAGAGGAGGAACAGCCAACAGGGAGTGGGAGTGTGGCTCCGGAGGTTGTGGAGGAAACTGGGGAAGGGCACAGGCCGTCTGAGCATTCAGAGGAAAACCCAGGCCCATCCGCTCTTCGTCCTAGGGCACGCAAGGAGGAGCAGATAAGGGAGAAACGTGAATGGTGTGGTCTACGGGGGAGGAAAGGGCCTTGATCCCCTTCATGGGCTGCAGCTGTGAGGACTGTTTAAAAGGACAAACTGCGCATGGACCAGTGCTGGAAGCAAAACATGAAAATATTTCTAGTTTGTCAGTTCTTATCTGAATTCCCAGTGTGTATTTCAATATCTGTGGATATTTTCAAGCCCTTATCCTGCCTTGTCTCATCAATTGCTTCAGTGTGGTTTGTGTTCTTTTTTTCTATTTATAATTTATATGTATTTTGAGTTTGAACGGAAGTTCTTTCTTTTCACAACTGTTTGTGGGGGAGTTTTTTCTCCAGTCAAAGATAATTGGACCTTTGAAGCCAAGTTGAAGGAATTAAAGGGACTTCACCTGTTTTTGTGACGTTGTTGCTTTTGTATCCCACCCTGGGTCATCACAAATGCTTACTTGAGATCCTGGAAGTAAGGTGAATTATAAACTGAGAGTTATTGTGATATAATGGTTAAGGTGTTGGATTAATATTGGGGTGACTCAGATTGTAATCTATCGTTACTCAGTTCCTGCCTATTTTACAAAGCGTTTGTAATAAGCATATGGAATGTCACCTTGTGCTCTTAACATATGTGTCAAATCAGGAATGTTAAGTTTGCAATACTTAAAAATCTTCCTGCATGTCTATGGATGTTCATTTTTTTTAAAACAAACACGGCAACGGGGACTTTTCTATTGTTTGTAGCTGTGTTTCCAAGATCATGGCTGGAAATGGAAAGGCAATCCTCTTAGCTTTGGGTACTACTTTCTCTTTGCCAAAATCATTCCTATTTCTATATAAACAATTTCAAATGAAAAAAGGCGTAACTCTATACTTTGCTATAAGCAATAATGTGTATTTAGCGATCGAGACATAGTGAAAATGAGTATGTAGAACCTGCGTGGAAAAAAAACTGCATGGAAATTACAAAGTACGTCTACATGGATATGGACTATATTTCAATATATTGTTGCTTTATCAAAACTTGGCCCATTTTTTTCTATAGTAAAACAAAACAAAAAACAGTACAAAAATATTTCCCATGCCCCAGGCCTACAAAGTTACCTATCTCTTAGCAGCTTTGGGTAATTTCAAGTCAATCATTTACACCAATGATAATAAACAGCCCTTCTTTGAAATGTAGAACTCCCCATACAAACGATCTTACAAAGATTTGAAGAATAAGGGTGGGTTAACATTCTTTTGGAAGGAATGTATCATTTTTCTTTAAGATACTTCTTATATAATTTGTTGAAACCTCCACGTCCACCTCCATAGAAGGTCAGGAGAATATGGAACATACTTTGTAGAATGGTTGTGATTCTCTTAAAAAAAAAAAGTGATTTGTTTGTCATGCAGTGGATAGGTGCCCAGACCTGAATATTAACCTTTGATGGGTGTCTCTAGTACTCTGAAACAGATAGTGGATATAATCACTATATCATACCTAGTATTTGAAGTAAATCTCGTTGTCCACAAACTCCTGCGTATCTTCTGAAGTTAAAATGATGCTATTTTTACATGCTGACAATCCATTAATCAAGTAGCTAATCCAATCTGCTCTAAGCAGTAACTTTAGCTAGCCTTGTTCTTTAGCAATAACTGACCACTGTAGTAAATTAAATATAAGGGCTATTTTAGTTAACTAATAACAAGCCTGTTGAGTGGGCACAGGGGAATTGAATACAACTTGCATTGTATTTTGCACTTCTGTTTTATTTTATCTCATACTGCTTCAGAAAATGTGAAACAACATTTCTTCAGCAGTGAAAAGAACAAAGTTATGTACACAGAACAGCTCGCAGGTGTGTAGCTATGTACAGGCACGTACAGTTCCATTTTTCATTCACACTGTTTTACATTTTTCAGTGTCAGGAACAAATATTACAGGGAGGCCCCAGCAAACAAGAAGTCAGGCATTTTGATTTAAGTATAAATACACACCTGTGGAGCATTCCATCCACAGTAATTAGAAAGAAAAAGAAAGAGAGAGGGAGGGAGGGAAGAAGGAAGGAAAGGAAAGGAAAGGAAGGAAGGAAGGAAGGAAGGAAGGAAGGAAGGAAGGAAGGAAGGAAGAAAGAAAGAAAGAAAGAAAGAAAGAAAGAAAGAAAGAAAGAAAGAAAGAAAGAAAGAAAGAAAGAAAGAAAGAAAGATATGTATGCTTTATTTGTATCATTGTACCAAGCGTTTTTCTATATGGCACATGGAGACCATGTTTAACACTAAAGGTATGGTTCTTCATGTTATTATAGGTATGACACCCTATGGTTAGTAGGTAATATAGGTATGACATCTTTCAAATAACATAGATTGCAGTACTTTTGGTCATATAATACATGGCCAGCAAGTAAAAAAAGATCTTCCACATTCTTTTTTTCTGTTTTCCCAGTAAAATGGTTAATGCTTTGGGATAGCAGTTGCTGGTTTGCCTTGCAACAAGCATGGCTTAAGAGGACTGGTTTTGAAGTACATTGATTTCTTTCTGCCTTTGTCTGATTTTTCACCCTTTAGGACAGCTTTAAAATGCATGACTTCAACTCCCAGAACTCCCCAGCCAGTCTACATTTTAAAGTTGTCCACTTTGAAAAACACTGCTTTAAAGTTTGCTTTGGGGTACAGATAGTACGTAGGTATTTAAAGTCAGATGGTTTTCAAAAGTATGGCTAAATTTAAAGTGTCTTACTTAGTTATTTATGGGGTGGGGTTTTCTGTTGGTCTGCTTAAAATGTTTATCAGGAAAGATTGTTCAAGGAAGAGCTGTCTGCCCCTTGCACTCAACTGATACAGTTCATGTTTGTTCATTTAGTTTGTAGGCCTATTTGAATTCTTTAATTGTTTCCTCCCTTAATGTTTTGAATATTTGAATATTTTCTTCACTCTTCTACCATTCCCAAATTGATCTTGACGTGTTAGAAAGTTCGATTTAATGTAACTTTGTGTTTGTATATGTAACTGAATCATTTTGTTTCTTGGGAGCCAATGAAAGACAGCTACACAAGCCAATAATTGATTGCAGGAAAGTTTCCTTAAAATTTGAAGCTCTAGTTCCGTAACAGTGAACCTATGGCATGTGTGCCAGAGGTGGCATGCAGAGCCTTCTCTGTGGGCATGCGCACCATCGCCAGCTGCTCTTCTGGTTTCGGGCCTACACATGCACGCCAGCCAGCTGGACTTCACAAGCACTGGAACTCCAGAAAATGGCCAAAAACCAGGCCGTTTTTCAGGTTGTTTCCCAGGTCATTTTCTAGCTATTTTCTGTGCTGTTTTCAGGACATTTTTCGGGACATTTTCAGGCCATTTTTCGGGCTGGTTTTGGCCTAAAAAATGGCCCCCCAAACAGTCTGAAAACGACACCAAAAATGCCCCCCAAACAGGCGGTCTTTTGGTTTCCAGAGCTCCAGCACCCACACATGCACGTGCATTCCAGTTTGGGCACTCGGTGCCGAAAAGGTTCGCCATCATTGCTTTAGTTTGTTCCATCACTTTGCCTTGTGGGTTTTAGGTGACATACCTTCTCTGTAGCAATGCTGTGGAATAGGGTGTTCCCTGAGATCAATATGGTCCAATAAGCCCCATTTGGGCTTCTGAAAAGACCTGGGTAGCATAAGAAGGCTCTGCTCCCTTATGATAATTTTGTGAGGAATAGTATGTGTTATTAACCTCCCCTTTGTGCATCCTGTACTCTTTTAGTGATTCAATTTCTTTTTGTTTGTAACTGTTATTTTCTTGATATTTTAATTTAGAATAGCTGTGTGACTAAGGGGGGGAATGCAAATTGTCTACATAAATAAAAGCAAATTAAAGGCATTGATTCTTTGAATTCCTTTATTCATAATAAACACAGTTCTTTGTTATCAATTTATTTTGCAGGATTTGACTCAAAATGAAGCCATTTTGGAAGAATTGATTCAGAAGGTAGTCCAGGAACACAAAAATCATAGGTTTGGTTCCCAAATTGTTAATATTACATTGTTGTCAATATGAATTATTATTCAGCCAATAGGCTTTTTCTTACAATTAGCTATTTTTCTAACTTGTGCACTAACTTTATGTTGCATGGAACTTCATGTCTCAAGAAAAGAACGTCTGTTCCCATGTCAGTCATGTTAGTTAAATGAGACTTGTAAAAGATTAAGGAAAGGAACAATGAAGGCACACAGTTTCTCTGATGCTCTTCTTGCAAGATTTCTCAAAGGCATTTGGCCACTTTGGGGTAAACTTCATTAATTTTGCTGTGATATGAGGGTTTTGGCTGAATATTTCTGAATTTTGTCAATTTTCATGCAAATTACTGATTATAAGGGGTGTACATGTTTTTGTCCTTGTAATATTGGTAAGGTGTCAGTGTAAAGTGGTAGACTGCCTCAAGCTATTTGCTGATGAGTGGAAGATAGTACACTGAAATACCCAGTTAGCTTAATCAGATACTGTGTTTCCCCCCCAAAATATGACCTACCCTGAAAGTAAACCCTACCCTGATTTTTGGGGGGGGGGTTAAGTTTAATATAAGGCCTACTCCAAACTAAGCCCAAGTGAAGGAGTTGGGTGTGGCCAGTCCAGGAGGCAGGCCTTCCCTTCCCTGGTCACCTTGGCCTCTTAATCCTGGCCCATGGATCAGCTGAGTTCTGTCCCTCTGGGTGCCTGGACATGTTTCCAGTGATGAGGCAGAAAGCCATGCGGCCCATTGGAATAGAATCCCCCCACCACCACCTCTACTCAGTAGCTTTGCTTGAGGAAAGGAAGAAAAGGCAGGCAATTCTGAAAGATTATGGGATGCATGTGCTTATAGTAGAAGCAAAGAGCATACTGTCTCTTTCAAGCAATCAAATGCCTTCTCTGTGTGTGTGTGTGTGAGAGAGAGAGAGACAGTGAAACGATGAAGTGGAGTAACAAGAATTGCAGACAACACTGTTTGAAAGGGTTTCCTCTACACCATATCTCTCTCTCTCTCTCTCTCACACACACACACACACACACACAGTTGAGGAATGGCGGAGGGCAGGCAACCAGGTAAGGGGACTGACTCTCCCCCGCCTCCAGCTCAGCACCTGCTCAGGATGGTGCTCCAAGGCCTGGCACTTGCGTGGGCGACTCCCACCAAGCCAATGCAGCAAATAGACTCCCCCATAGCGCCTCCTCTCCCACACTTGTTGAGCTGGAGGTGTCGCACGCACACAGCCACCACTCAGGGGGAGATGAGTGCACCAGAGCCCAAACACTGAGCCTCGCCAGTCTAGGAAACCAGGGATTTTGCAGGCATACTGGCCACGAAAAGGCCACCCAAATCCCTAGGTTGTTTGCAATTTGAGCAAGCTGCGCAGCTGTCTGCCCCAAACCAAGTAGCAGAGAGGTTTCAGGACTACAGGCAGGAAAATCTCCCTTGCAATTTTCCTGCCAATCTTTGAAAAGGCTCCCCTCTAAGCCCAGCGTATCCCAGGCAGCAAAATGGGGAGGAGGGTTTTCCCGCCTGCCCTTCTCTTCTCAGTCTGTGCTGAGCTTAAGAAAAGGCTGAAGGCTTGGGGGAAGCCTTTTCGGCACACTCTTCTCCTTCTGGGTGGCAGCTGTGAATGGGCGACGCCTCCAGCTCACTGAGTGTGGCCTGCTGATCTCAGCTGGCGGCAGCTCTGATTCGATCCTGGCCGCCACTGGTGCAGGCAAGAACTGGCCATGCCAATCCCACTTCATGGCCACATAGATGGAGCCCGCACAGGCCATTATTTCACATGGGAGAGGAGGCACTAAGAGGGAGCCCATTTGTCACATTGGCCAGGTGGGGGGCCTCGTGACACCACTCTGATCAGGTGCTGATTGCCGAAGAGGCTCCCCCCAGGCCATCAGCTTTTTCTTAAGTTCAGCACAGATTGAGAGAAGGAGGGCAGGCAGGAAAATTCCCCTACCCATTTTCCTGCCGATCGCCAAAAAGTATCTCCTCACACACACACACACCCCCCAAGCCTTCAGCATATCCCAGGATTGCAATGCTGAGGGCGTGGCAGGAAAAGGCTGTTTAAAAAAACATGCAGGCTCAGATCAGCTGTGTTGCGGAGAATGTTTAGGTTCAAAGTGGCGTAGATCAGCTGCTTAGTGAGGCTATGGAGGCCCTAAGTGGGAGGGGCAGCTGGCTGTCCCCACCCTTCCCGGTACAGGAAAAAAATTGGGGAAAATATAAGATCTCCCCGAAACCTTTTTTGGCAGTCCAAAAAATATAAGACCCAGTCTTATTTTCAGGGAAACATGGTATAGAAGTTAACTCAATGACATCTAGAAACACCATTATAATATTTCCTTTGATTTTTCTCAGATTTAGTGTGTTTACATTATTTGGATAAGCTGATAGATAGAAGACACATGAATATTGTAATTATCCAATACAATTTGCTAATTATTATGTTGTCCTTAATAGCTGCTACCTGCTTTTTATTCTTTCTTTTTATATTATGAGAGAGCTTTTTAAAAAAAAAGTTAGCTGTCCACAGTCAACCTTGTGCGATGAGCAGCCATGTAAATTGATTAAGAAAATAAATTCAAAGTAAAGAGGATGTTAAAATCTTTGGCCTTTTCAATAACCCTGTGTGATATTTCTGTTAATTTTATTTGCAGCAGCCTTTCTGCAGCAGAAGCAGAATTGCTTTACATCAGGGAAGTGGAACGACTAGATGGATTTGGGCAGGAAAGTTTTCCTGTGAAGGTAAGGGGTTAGTGCTCATACTATATTGGTGAAGTAAAAACATCTGAATAAATAAATGTTAGTGGAAAAGGAAGAAGGGGCTTTTTTTTACCTGTTTAGCATTAAGGGCTAAACAATCCTGCTGCAGCCAGTCTCAGCTGTTACCTTTGAGAATTAATATGTTGTTGTGATTAAGCACAACTCTGTTTAGGGAAATTCAGATTGAGATCATATTTCAGTGATGGAGCGTGCATGTGAGAGAAGAGTGCCTGTTACTCGTGCAAATGGAGCTGTGCATGTGCACTCACCCACCACTTACACGGCCCAGTTTTAAAAGCCGTGGCCAAGTACCAGGCCACAGCCCAGGGTTGGGGACCCTATGTTAGGAGGCCTGTGTGATCTATCTGAGGTGACTGAACTCTCAGTCACACTAGGCTTTCTTTCTTGAAGTATCTTGGAGCCACTTCTCATGGGCCTTCAGCTTGTGTGCAAGTCACATTTTTGAATGGCAGTTGCAGGGTTAGGATTGATATATTGTAGAGGCTGGGGCAGTGGCAATTGGCTGAGACTCCTGAAGCTTTGGGCCTCTACTTCAAGCCAGCCTATTGCTAGTGTCTCTGTGTGTCAGATAAGCGGAACATAGGCTGGTGTTGGGGGGGACTTGTAGCACCCTTCCAATCATAAGGACAGACACACTCCCAAGGAAACAAATTTGTGACCATCTCAGTGCTGCAATGGCTTTAACTATGGTCATGGTTTGTAAGTCCTTTTTGTCAGCATTGTAATTTTGAACTGGCCCTGAATGAATGGACAAAGAGACCAACAAGAGTTCACTGGATTTTCCAAATTGCTAAAAACCCTTACAGAAATCTCTCTCTCTCTCTCTCTCTCTCTCTCTCTCTCTCTCTCTCTCTCTGTGTGTGTGTGTGTGTGTGTGTGTGTGTGTGTATGAATGGTATTCAGCTTTGTTTGGGTATTTTCCCACGTCATTATAATTGTGCTATACACATCATCATAACATCTCTAGAACCGTAAAGCCTACAAACTTGAAATTTGGTACATATGTTCCTCTTGGCTTCTAGGTGCTCACTAAGAAAGGATTTTTCGAAATGACTATCAGAGCATTAGTATTTCATATATTATTATTAACACTCTCTGATGCTACGGAGTTTTACTCCCCCTCCCCATCTGAAAAGAAATCTGTTCCAAATGCAAAACACAAACGGAGAGGAGTTTCAGTTTTAGTTTCACAACACCCAGCAATTTTAGTACAGAACAGTTAAGCTAAGCCACACCCAGGCTCCTTGCTGTCTCCTTGTTTACACAGTAAATATTGTTTCAGTTTCCAAACAGCCCTAAACTCTCTCATACACTGAAAGGACACTAGCCAGATGAATACCGATGGATGCTGGTAGGCAGAGGCAGAATTTTTTCCCCCTTATTTTCCTCCCCAAAATCTAAGGCCGACCACATAGTTTCATAGCAAAGCACAGGTATCAAGCTAGTATGCATATAAATGCCACTAAAATGGAATTGTGGCATTTTAGCAAATGTTCTTTGTACAGTGAAGGATAAGCTGTTCCATCTACAAGGTAAGTAAATCAAATCTGAACTCCAGATCACATGATAGATCTCGTTTACAAACACAGCACCATGAAGTGTTAAAAGGTGGCTTGTAGAATGAGTTGTACTTCTTTAGACTATATGGAGGGGGGGGGGGTTGTCTCAAATTTGTTTCACATTGAAAGCCAGATGCCAGAAAAGAGGAGTCTTTTATACTTCGAATGGTTAAAGAAAAAGGGGAAATCCACTTGGCCATGTACATTACTGTTAATAAAGCAAGAATCCCATTCTCTGTTGCACCTGGCTATCCTAATCTTCACAAACAGAAAACCAGCAACATTTTAAACTTTTCTTCCTTCCTCCCTTTTCTTCTCATCATTTGGCCCTTTTTAAAAACAAACAAACAAAGGAATATTCAAAATATGTACAGCTGCAGTACTTTTACTGCATTCTTCTGCAGTTGTAAACTGAGCCAGTCCAATGCTCTTGCCTGTTTTTGTCACATTTTGTATAATGTCATTTTATACTGAGTCAGTCGACTGGTCTATCTGTATTAGAATGACCTTACCAGTCCAGGTACCTTATCTGGATCTTACCAGTCCAGTCCCCTGTTGTTTTGATTTTTGTTGACTGGTCATTATACATAATTCGTGTGAGGATATCAAGGCACATGTGAAATCTCCTGCCCTCTTTTGCTTCTTGCTTTAGATTCCCCCATGAATTGAGGCCCTGCACCTAGAACCTCAAAATGCAAAACTCTGCACTGACCTACAATCCCTCCATTACAACTGCACATTCCCAAACCTCTTTCAATTGCACAGAATAAAAGATCTCTCTCTGTGTGTGTGTGTGTGTGTGTGTGTGTGTAAAATAAAATTAACATTCTTGCATGTTTTTTTTTAATTCAATCAGTACCTTCCCTTTGTACTTTTTTCCTGTAATCTCCTTCTTAATATGATTTCTTTTCCTTTGATAATTCACACATTTTTACCCGGTAGCAAAAATAATTATTGCGTGCATGCAGAATAATTCAAATTATTGCCTTTTGTAGCTTTAGGAAACACATTTTCCCGCTCCTTGTGTTGGCTATGAAACCGTGCCATTGCTTTATGTGCTATGGGCAATTCCATTTCTACCCTAAGGCACATCCTAGCTCAAGATCAATCCTGCTTCTGCTGCAGCTGATAGAAAGAATCAGGACAATTCTCAAAATAGCTTGGAGGGATAGAAGTAAATAAAAGTTTGACTAGCTCCTGTGGTTTGGGTCTTGTGACAGTCTGCATTAAAGTTAATGACTTTTTGCAGCAAAGGGTAGAAATTAACACCTCCTTTCACATTCCACATTCAACTTTTAGCAGATTGACCAAAATGCAGGAAGTATAGGAGGTTTAAAATTCTGTCCTGTATCAAGTAAATTCTGTAACTAAATTTGTATTCTGCTTCACATTAGTTATCTTTGGCAAGAACCCAGAAAAGAGAAGGCAAAACTTTTATCTCAACAACAGTTCCATCCCTTTTGTACAATGGCGTGTCATAAGGGCAAAAGAGTGGAGCTTGAATTGGAAAATTATGATGTACGCTTTTGGAGTAGTTGTGATTGGCGACTGCCATTTATGGCAGTGCCAAAGCAAATGCCATTGCAGAGCTACACAAGACCAAAGGGAGAGATGCCAAAATATAAGGTGTATAGGCTAATTAAACAAATTGGGGCAAGGAAAATAATATATATAATGAGTTGAGGTCACTCAAGTTTCACCAATACAGATAGTTTTTGACTTATGAGGACAGTTGGGACCAGATTTTTTTTGTTGCTAAGCTAAGCGAGGCAATTTTATAACATTTGCTATTGTTGTTAAGTGAGCCGCTGCAATGGTTAATTTTGATCATGTGACCATGGGGGGGATGTCCAACAGTCATAAATGTGAGGCCTCTTTTTCTTTTTTCTTTGTGCCTTTGTAACTTTGAATGGTCACTAAACAAATTGTTGCAAATCAAGGACAATGTTTCTTGGATGCTTTTAAAAGAAAAAAAAAGCAAGCCATGGCCGGACTTATATTTAACAAGACATGCAAGGCCAGGACTTTTCCCTCTGATTTGTTTTATCAGCATCATATGACAATTCAAGCCAAGAAATATCTGATGCAAGTGACTGTTAGTAAAAGCTGGAACTGCGTAGCAGGTTTAATCAAAAGATTGGAAACTTTACATTTTAAGAGATTAGAATTTGGGCTAAAGTTATTTCGATGTATATTTTAATTTTCTGTGCAGGACAATCAAGGAAATGACTTTCATCTTGGAATTTTCTGCATGGGGATTTTTCTAAAGAACTCAATGGGAAGATCCACAGTGAACTACAGGTAAAAGTAAGATTGAAGGGATTTTGCATTTGATCCGGCCAAAAGTAGATCAAAATGCATTTGAAAGTTTGGATTGGTTTCAGTAGCAGGGTAACAATGTAAGGAAGATTAATTGCCCTTATATTCTGCACAGGGGAAGCAGCAGACTTGACTTGATAACCCATTTATCTGACCCAACAGGATTTATACATATTATGGTTTAGAAGGCTTTATCCACTGAAATCAATGGAAATCCAAAGTGCTTTGTCTATCATAATATTGTTGCTTATATTGTATTGGTGTTCTATGGATATCATTAGCTTGTTATTAGTCATAAACTATGTAGTTTATACAGAGAGAAAAAATATATTTAAAAATTAATAAATCCAATCTTATTAATGTTTCCTTTGTTATTCAGCTAATTTTTTTTCCTTCAAGAAGCCTAACAACCATCAAAGCACACCTAGATTTGTATTTATCTTTGCTTCTGAGAGGATCAGGATTTATGATTACTGAACATGCAATAAAATTACCCATATTTATAATTATATGTAGAGCAATTTGACTTAAATGATTTATGAATATTTCTTCTTGTAGTAAACCAAATATTCTGAACATGCAGCTTATGTCAGCTTTCTTTGCTTAAATAGTTATAGGACTGATGTCCCCCGAAATCAATCCTTTTAGGCAATGTTGTATGAGAATTCTGGAAAACAATAGCTCTTTGCATATTCAGTAAGTTGAGGTAATCTCTTTACCAAAGGAAAACAAACATTTTTTTTAAAAAAAGCAAGGTAATTTGGGAGAGAAGGATCAAAATTGTGTATGTGTGTGTTGTATGTGTGTGTGTAATGGATACACAAATGAAATATTTTTGCAATGAAATTACCCATTTTTAAACCATGTTTTTTTTTCTATAGGTGGAATGATATTGGAAATATAACACACAACAAGTCTTCAATTGTTGTAGAATTGCTTAACAAAGAAGAAACTATGCTGTTTCATACGGTAGGCAAATGATAAAAGATCAATCTCAGAATTATAAATAATGATAAAAGTGAGATATTCCGATCCCAGTGATAGATTGCAATAAAGCTTCTATAGCTAAAAACAACAAGAAAATGTGGCTTTTCTTAGAACTTTTTCTTGAGTAGACTGATGGTTCCACAGAAGCAAAGCAAAGTATCTTGTTGGTTCTGTTTCAGAGAGAAACATACCACTCAAATAGGAATTTCCACTTCATTCTGATGAATGTTTACATCACCTAGGTGTTCTATATGATAAAGAGCAGGAGCCATCTTCCAGGGATATTAACCAGGTGTAACAAGATTGAAAAAGTCATGCTGTCTTGTTGTCTCCAATTTACCTTTGGAGAGAGGCTGTAATACAAATTGGCTAAATTGGCATTGGACTCACCCTACCAAATAGTAATAGCACTTAGCAATAGCAATTAGACTTGTATACAACCTAGATTTATATACCACCCCATAGTGTTTTACAGCACTCTCTGGGCTGTTTACAATGCCAGCATATTGCCCCAACAATCTGGGTCCTCATTTTACTGATCTCAGAAGGATGGAAGGCTGAATCAACCTCTAGCCCGTCAGATTCAAACTCCAGGCTGTGGGCAGAGTTTGCCTGCAATGCTGCATTCTAACCATTGCGCCAGCAAGGCTCTCTTAAATAAAGTTAAATATGCATTCCCTCCCTTTATGTTTGGCTTTAACAGCTTGTGAGTTCATAATTTTTAAGTATAAGTATAAAATTATAATAAAAGCATTTCTTCCCATCTTTTGAAGAATAAAATTATAATAATTATTATAATAATATCCCCATCCCTTTTATTTCAAAAGGCATTTTAAACTGAATTTTGCACTAAAACTGTAACTCAAAATTAGTTATTTACTGATTGAGGTGCGAGCTTTATGCTAGACAGTTGGCTGTCAGTAGATGAATGGAGAGGAGGGCTAAAGAAGGCAGTGCCAGCTGACTGTGAGCAGTCTCCCATGGAGCAGTGACCATCAGCTGGTCAGAAGTGGCCAAACTCAGCAGGCCAGTGGCTACATCATCTCCCCAATGTATAATTTCCTAGTTTAGAGAAACTTACTCTCTGCATTTTCATACTGCTCTGCTTTTGGGAAACTTTGAGCCAATTACATTTACTTCTGAGCCACAGAACTGGCAAAGACCTGTTCAAGTTTAATAATGCAGCAGCCTTGTTTATTCTTTAGCCTAGTCTTTGAGCCAGATGGTATGGCAAGATTGCACTAGTATCCCTGATCTACGATAACTTGAATGATGCTAAACTTGGGATTTTTGAATATATTTTTCTGCAAAGCATTCTCCCTACTGAATATTTTAGAGGAACACGGTCAGTGTTATATAACTCATTGTTATGTTTGTCCCAGTGAAATTCAGTGTTCTTTCCTTCTTTTTCCCTATTCTCTCTCTCCCATCTTTTCTACTTTAAAAGGATGACCTTGAAAACGCCAAGTACATTTCACGGCTCTTTGCTGCGAAGCACAAGTTTTACAAACAAAACAAAATCTGCACAGAGTAAGTACATATCTTTGGGAAATTCTGGCTGGCTGCAATAAATGTTGAGTGGTCGTGTTTTGGATTAGGTTATTTATGTATTTGTCATGGGTTTGTTTGTTTGTCTGTTTGAGGCCATTGTATTATTTATTCTCCATCTGCTCATTGCCCATACAGCAGAATCAAAGATTATAACTCTAGACATAATGTGTTTTCTTCATGGGTATGCCCGACATACAAAAAAAGAAAGAAACATTCTTTTTTGTAGATGTCTTGGAAATCTCTCATTGAAAGACAGGCAAAGAATGCTTGAAATGAAACAGATGAGAAGGAACGGCATGAAAATCAGGTGTTTCCCACTGTAGTCTAAAATGTACAGTTTAGGTTTAGACATTTGTACAAGGCTTTATAAATTATTGGCAAGCCCTGTAGGACTTCTCAATTTCTAACTTGACATTCGTTAACAAACCAGAATGAGAAATTTGGTTTCCAGAAACTTGTTTTAGCCTCCTGGTTCCACATAGAGGAAGTGCTTTTTAGCACTGCTCTCATTTATGGAATAAGCAATCAGCAGCTCATGCCAAAGACTATTATATTCAGGTTTTCTGTTAGTTGCTTTCTGGTTTCTATACTGCATATTCATCTCTCCTTGGTTTTAAGCTTTTCGTCCTCTTGTCTTCCTTCATATTAACTTGCTGTGGCAAATATTCCTTTGCATTAGAATGGAGAAGAAAAACTTACTGTCACTTTATACACATTGTGGTCTCTGTTGAACTGCCACTTTTTCTATAAGTACATCAGCTGCATTTTCTTGCAGTTAGTTATGTCACTCTGGTCTCAGAAATACAAGTAGTCTGTACTAGTACAATAATGTGAAATCTGAAGTACGGGGCCATTTAAATACTCTGTTGTATTCAGATGCTTCATTAGGTCTGATAAGGGCTTCCTAAATCTGGATAATCACTAGATTGCAGTAATGAGGTATAGAAAGCTCTATTTTTTCTTTGTTTATTTTTACAACAGACTTGGAAATGGATTAATGTCATGTAAGATGTTTGAAAGAGGGATTCTTGATATGCACATCTGTGTCCAAACTCGTGTGTTTAGCTACTATGAAATCATTTATCTATCACTGTTTATCTAAGTGATTGAATGGACGGAGGAAATCATCAAAGATAAGCAAGCAGGTGCCTTTCAAATACTTGGACTTTGATCCCATTTTAGAATTGCTTTCTAAGTCAAGCTGTATAAAAGTGCCTTACAGGAGTTACTTAGTGCTTTTATTATTGTTGTGGTGGTTGTTGTTGTTGTTATTATTATTATTACCCAGCAGCTTGTGATTTGAGCCGTGGTGGCGCAGTGGTTAGTATGCAGTATTGCAGGCTAATTCTGTTGACTGCCAGCAGTTTCTCAGTTCAAATCTCACCAGGCTCAAGGTTGACTCAGCCTTCCGAGGTCATTAAAATGAGGACCCAGATTGTTGGAGGCAATATGCTAACTCTGTAAATTGCTTAGAGAGGGGCTGTAAAGCCCTGTGAAGCGGTATATAAGTCTAAGTGCTATTGCTATTTCAAGAGTGTTCTGTAAATGATACTTAAGGGCAATGCTGGCTGGATAATTCTGGAAGTTGAAGTCCACGCATCTTAAAATGGGTAAGATTGAGAAACAGTGTTCTAGGGTTTAATTAGTTTCAAGTATGGCTAAGAGGAAATCATGGTTGTCTTTACAACCTGGCTTACAAATTGAACTGCCATATCTGTCCTATCAATATTTATCATCTGTGGAGCTTTCATAACTGGGTATTTCCTACATGAAAATATTGGCATGATAATTGAAATATTAGATTGATATCTTGTCTTCTATACAGGATATACAGTAAATGCTCCCTTCTCCTATCTGCCCTTTTGCTTTGAGGAAATGAGACTGGTCCAGAGTCCCCCGTGTGAGCTTGGTTCATGGTTGAGGATGAATTAGAACCGGGTTCCCCTGATCCTAGTCTGCGAAGTCAGTGAAAGTAGGAAGCTTTGTTTTTATTTTCATTGTAGCATTCAGACAGATACCAGTAGCAGTGTATATAACAATTGTCCTTTTATTATAAAGCACAACATCTATAGCCAGTTTCAGAAGAAAAAAAAACGATGGTAGAAGAAGACAGCATGATAAGAAATAGCAGGCCCCCTGCAGTGGCATATATTTTCTAGAAATGAGATAGGGAGTGGTAGAGTAGAGGGAAAGAAGTAATGTTTGCATTGGTTTTGTGTTTGCTTTCCTGTACCTTTAACTCTGGAAGATAAGGAAGGATGACTTAATGAGTTTCAGTCACGTAGAACAACACAGTGATCTCATTTCCATAAAAATTGCCACCATGAAAGGAAGAAAAAAAACCTAATGCTTGAAAGTAATGGCAGTTACTGTATGCCAGTAACTCACAGACAAACAGAAGAGTGGGACTAGGTCATAAGTCATCCACAGAATTCAAATGAAGGTAGAAACATGGGTATCTGTACTCCAAAAGCAAGTGTTTGAGTTTTCTTGGTTAAAATTTTGGCCTTCTTTATAATGGTTGAAAGCTCTTGGAGTTTTTTTCTCAGTACATCTTTAATAAAAAATATATATAATATAAAATGTGTGATGTCGTGGTCCAGATTTGAATCATCACAAATGGCGTGAGAGTAAATTTTGCATGAGATGACTGGAAGAAGCGCAAAATGAACAAGAGGCACTGCTGATGGATCAACTCCATTTTCAGTCCCTCTCCTCTCCCATTCATTTTATTCTAGGTGTCCCTGCCGTCTGAGTATGAAAACTAGGGCTTTTATTTTTACAGGTGAATTTTTTATGCATTTGGAATTTTCTTTAGCATTCAGAATTTTCTTCCTTTGGATGGGAACATGATGGTCTAGAGCAGGAGTGTCAAACTCACAGCGTCACGTTATCTACATGTGATGTATTGTGACGTTTTTCCCCTTTGCTAATATGTGAGTAGGCGTGGCCAGCGCATGATTGTATCCGGCCCAAGGACCAGGAGTTTGACACCCCTGGTTTAGAGAGTATTTGTGAAGCTGGAATACTTGTTTTTCATGTGAGATGTTGGTATATTTGTTTTATTGATATTGGTGTCATGTTGTTTGATGTCTTTTTTTTTTTACTTTTTAAAAATTCTATTTTTGTTGTTAACTGCCTTTGGAGCCTTGTCTGGAAAGGGGTCAGTGTTTTCAGAATTTAGTAAAAGAGAATGTTGGTTGGGTTAATAGCATTAGTTCCCAAGATCTATGATTTCTAGCTGCAAAGTTTTCCATATCTGTATCTTTTGCGTCTGCTGTTTGCAATTTGCATGGAGGCAGGTATGAGTGGGTATTTTCTAATTGCACATCACGTCATTTACCAGATCAGAAAATGTAAGATGAGGAATTCCACCTTTCCTTTCTACACGTAAGCACTTTATTTCTACTGTACCTTGTGAATTTTTTATTTATTTTGTGCTTCTTTGTTCTTTCTCCCACCTCCCACCTGCTTCTTACTATTTTAACATGAAATTCCATTCACCTGCTTGTTTCTCTCTTAGCCTGCAAGTGCCTTTATCTTGTTGGGTGATTTGTTATGCTATTACTGTTTTTTTTTAAATTTCCTTTCCAAAACTGGCCTTCTCCAACCTGGTACCCTTCATATCTTGGACCTATAATGCTCATCACCTCAATAATGGAGGTGACAGAATTTGTGGTTAAACACGTCTGAAGAGCTCTAATTGGAGGAAAATTGGCCTAAACAATATCAAATTAACTCTGATAGTTTGGTTTGGCTTTATTGAATTTATTATTTGCATTTTCAGGTTTAAATAAATTAGTTCTTTTTTTAAGGGCATGTGTGACAATAAATGTTAATGCCTTTATAAATAATATTCCCTTTTTCTTTAGTATATGTATTTTCATATCCATTTCAAAACAGATAATAATTGCCATTATGTAACAGTCTTTTCATTCCACTTGCATAAGAATACATTTTCTGTATTTTACAGAATTACAGTGATTAAGAATCATTTCCGTCTTTTCCCCACAGACAATCAAATTCTCCTCCCCCTATCAGACGGCGGCCCACATGGAGCAGATCATCTTTGGTAAATATCTCGCATTGAGTGCTGAGCTCAAGAGACATGGGATACTCTAGAACTCCTCCAACCACAAACAGTTGGTTGTAATAAACGGTTTTGTAAAAAGAGCCCTGGTGGCGCAGCGGTTAGAATGCAGAACTGCAGGCTACTTCTGCTGACTGCCAGCAGTTTGGCAGCTCAGTTGTCACCGGCTCGAGGTTGACTCAGCCTTCCATCCTTCCAAAGTCGGTAAAACAAGGACCCAGATTATTGGGGGCAATATGCTAACTCTGTAAACCACTTAGAGATGGCTGTAAAGCACTGTGAAGTGGTTTATAAGGCTAGTGCTATTATAGACAGATTACGAAAAAAATTGCTGTAAATAAATGTCCAATGTGTATGTTTTATTTTACTTCACTTTCAGCCAAGGCAGCATCCATTTATTATGCCTCCTGTGCATGTCCAATGTGGAGAACACTACACTGAAACTCACAATTCACAAGGTTAGTGATGGGAATGGGAATAATAGCAACAACATAGTGCTTACTTATAGTGTAAGATATAGTGCTTACTTTTTAAAAAGGAATTTACAATATTGGGCTTTTTCTTTTTGCAATATGATAAGGATAGGCTTTTTTTTTTCATGAGGTTTCTATAACTTAGTCAGTATTTGAGAAGGCCACATTCCTGCAGTTGGATGAAGATAGGGAAAAATTAAATGACTTTTATCTTTGTTCAGTATATGCATCCTCTTACATTCATGTTTTGCCTTTCCAAATCTATTGGAAATTTAAACTCAGCAGTCTCAATGTTTGTATTTGGCCCACTGGACAGGTACATAGTTGCCCGATTGAAATGGAGACTTTCTGATTTACAGAATACATAGTTCATACCTACTGTGCAGTCATATCTCCCTTTCTCATGGAAGGTTACTGGTGATCTGCTAATACTTGAACTGAATGGCAGAGAAAGTGAAGTAAATAAGTAAATAATTCATCAATAAGAATCATTTAGGAATTCCATTTTAGTGTGTTAAAATCTAAAATTGCAGAGATAAAAGGCATGTCTTGAAATGGTAACAGGCTCATGGAAATAATAAAGTAGCTCTGATTCAATCCTAAAGTTTGGAAATAGATGGTTGCTTTATTTTTGCTACAGTTTAGAAAAAGTACCTTCTTATATTTGCCTTCGTATCTCCCCTTAGAGCAGGGCTGTCAAACTCAAGGCCCTGGGATGCTTAGATCTGGCCCATGGGGCTGCCCCAGAAACAGCGAAGGGCTGGCCCGCAGTGCCTCTGCTATCGAAAACAAAGCCTATGTGCCTATGAGGGCATATGAGCTCTGTTTTTGCTGGCAGAGAGTTGTAGGAGGCCGTTGCAGCTGAAAACGGAGCTCGGGAGCCCATTTTCTCTGGCAGAGTGCTCTGACACGAGTGGTGTCAAGCTGGCCATGCCAACCCTGGCCATGCCCACTCCCCCCTGCCCCCCCCCGAGGTCAAGCATAACCCTGATGCAGCTCTCAGTGAAATCGAGATTGACACCCCTGCCTTAAAGAGTCCAAGGGAAAATTGGAACATTTATTTATTTATTTTACAATTTTTAATATAGACGACTCTGGACAAACTATAACACTTGAAATTATAAAATCAGCAGTTGAAATAAATCAAAATTATAACAAGCAATCAATTCTTTCTCCAAGATGGATACCAATAAAACTTAGCTAGTCTTTGAAGATCTAAAAACTTCAAGGGAGCTTATTGACATCTAGTGGTCAAGAATTCCAGAATTTGGAAGCCGCCACAGAGAAGGCTTATGATTCATTTTTGGTCTTCTGAGAACAAAAGTTCTTGTTAGTGTCCCACCCCCCAATTTCCTTGAATGATTAGAGAACATCTGAAATGAAATTATGAATATTCCCAGTTGAACATAAATACCATTATTCTTCTGAGCTTACTCCCATCAACATATTGACAAAGGTAAGTGATGGGCAATACACATATCCTATCATCTCTGTCTCTTTTTAATTTCATACTTCTGAATAAAACTGCAGTCAGCAATACATGGTCATTATGATTGGAACTTTTAATCAAGAACCCTACGTGTACTGAGATGAGAATACAAAATGTTTGTATGAGTAAACTTCCTATTAAAAAGGAGGAAAAAGAAACAGTTTTTGAATGGGTGGGTGGATAGATGGATGAACATACAAAGCTTTCCCATGTTGTGCATATTAGAATTCTTCACTGACAAGAACGTTATTGAATAGTGACAATAACAGTATTTATTCAATCCAAAAGACAATGATCCCAAGTTTCTGTGCTTGTTGACATTGCTATTCCGAAATGTGAGGAACTCCAAAATTTCCTGTTCCACGGGCATCAGTGAAGAGTCTTTATGCAGTGGGACTGCTATGGTCGAAACTGAGATGTAGCCCTGATATTTTTTTTACATCACTTTTTCTATCAGTTACGTATTTCTTTAGCCTGTTTGTTGTATTTTCCATTCATTTTCTACTTTTCCTACACACAGATAGCATTTTTCATGGAAATGAAGACATGTTTTACTATAGATCTCAGACTAGCTTGGACAGATGCGCAATGGACTTCAGCTATTTGAATGGCAGTGTCCCAAATGGCAGCGTGTGCAGTGCCCAAAGTATGAACTCTCTCAACCATTCGCAGAATTTCATTCAAGCTTCTCCAGTGTCCTCCAACCTCAGTATCCCTGGAAGTGACATCATGAGAGCAGATTACATACCAAGCCATAGACATAGTGCAATAATTGTCCCTTCATATAGGCCAACCCCAGATTATGACACTGTAATGAGGCAAATGAAAAGAGGAGTGATTCACACTGATAGCCAAAGCCAGTCTTTGAGGAACCTCAACATTGGGAACACTCATGTTTACAGCCAACCCACAGACCTTGTATACAGTCAACCAGAAATTCAGGAGAGACCTTCTTATACCATTGCATATGGGCCTCAAGGCACTTATAAAAAACATGTGACTCCTTCTGAGCAAGTGAATCCCATGAATGCTTTGCAGGCAAAACCGACAGTTAGTGCCATTTCCCATACAGTTAGCACTCCAGAGCTGGCCAATATGCAGCTCCCCAACAATCAGAGATGTGGCCCTGCACACGTACTGAAGAACTACCTTTTCAGGCCACCACCACCCTATCCACGTCCACGTCCTGCTACCAGTACACCTGACCTAGCAAGTCACCGCCACAAGTATGTCACTGGCAGTAGTCCTGACCTGGTCCCTCGGAAAGTGCAGCTTTCAGTGAAGACTTTCCAAGAAGATAGTGCTCCTGTTGTCCACCAGTCGCTACAGGAAGTGAGTGAGCCTCTTATGGCAGCCAAACATCATGCAGCCATCAACAAACGCCACAGTTTGGAAGTGATCAGTAATATGGTGCGTGGAATGGAAGCTATGGCTTTAAAAAGCCTAAATGCTCCCTTGCCACGCAGAAATACCCTACGCAATGAGATGCAGCCAGAGGAAGTGGTGCAAAGAGGGCATGAGGTTCAGCAGCTCCCTCATTACCATCACAAAAAGACCTTCTCGGATGCTACAATGCTGATCCACAGCAGTGAAAGTGAAGATGACGAAGAAGCATCAGAATCTGTGCCTTCCATGGCAGCCTTACATGAAAACGTGGAGTATAGTGCTCAGTTGCAAGCTGCTTTGGCTCGAATACCTAACAAACCTCCTCCTGAATACCCTGGTCCCAGGAAAAGTATTAGCAATGGAGCTCTGCGGAATGAACAAATGGGTAACGTTCCACGGGCTGTGTCTCGAGCCAAGGTGGTGAAGTCAGGACCAGCCAGGACAATTAGCATATCTCGGACTGATCAGAGCATGATGAATGGATCTTCCCTTGGTCCATCAGTCTCTGAGCCAGACCTCACAAGTGTCAAAGAACGGGTCAAGAAAGAGCCAATGAAGGAGAGGCCTGTGTCTGAAATGTTCTCCATTGAAGATAGTATCATAGAAAGGGAAATGAGGGTGAGTGTATTTTCATGTATTTTACAGGTTCTCTGAATGGTAACCATAAGTTACAGTTGAAAAGAAATATCTGCTATGTCATTAAAAAGAAGCCTCTTTCAAAGCTAGTTTAAATTAAGAGCATATGCCTCTGTTTGAATATACTGGTGATTGAGGTGGAAAAAAATCAGATCGAAGAAAATATTTATTAAATTGCAATTATGATCATATTGGTTAGAAACTTAATGTTGAAGTCTTTCACTGAAGTGAGTAGCACAGTTGAAAAAGTTGAAAAGTTCTTAACTGTAGCTTTTAGAAAGTTTACATAAAAATAATTGAAATAGATAAATGTTGTCTTGGATCATGTTCAGAGTCCATAAATATTTCGGAATACTTAAAATAGAAGGTACTATATTTCATTGATGCGTAAGCCGATGTAACATCTGAACTGTTAAGAAGATAAGAGACCTGCTGGATCACATTAAACGTGTCTAGGCTACATTCTGTTGTTGTGGTACTCCAGATGTCATGGGGAAATCTACAAGCAAGACATCTTGCTTCTATTATCCAGCAGCTGATATCCAGGGGTATCTTGTTCTGATTGTTGAAATAGGGAATAGTCGTCATAGGTACTGGCCATTGATAACTATCTGCCCCCATTTTGAAAGCTACTGAACTTGCTTGTCATTGTTATAATTAATTCCCTAGTTTAAATATGTGCTATATGAATAAATCTGCTTATTTTCTTCATCTGAAAGCAGAAATGCAGAATTGTTGATATTCTCATATTTCCAGACTGAACAAGAAATCCAACATCTAGATTACTCAGGCTGCTCAGGTTGACAGAACATTTGTTTTATTTTCAAGCCAGGGTACATTTTTTTACCCAACCCCTCCCTAATTCATCATTCCTTGGCTTTTGTTGTTTTCAGGTCATCTAGTAGTAACTAGGCATATTTTGGTTGTCTTTTGAAGATCTGGAAACTCCCCAGAAAGGTTTATGAAGTAGTAAGGCTTAGGGGGACAATCAGAAGAACAGTTTCCCTTGAAGCTTTCAACATCAAGCCAGACCACCTAGATCTGAAATGCAACCATTTATTACAGACTTGTAAGACATTTTTCATTTTAATAACTGCATAAAGAGATTAGTTGAACCCTGAAAAATATTTGAGAATTCTTTCAGGGCTACATATAAATCTATGAATAATATGTTTGAAAGATAGAATATTACCAAGCTGAAAGAAAAGAAGATGGCCGACATTTCATGATACCCCCTTCCCCCCCCCCCCTTCCTTTCTTTTGCTGGTTAGGAGCAATTGAAAAAGGTGCAGGAGCTTTTATGAACTCTGAGAGATGGCATCACAAATGGCGAGTTAATGTCAAGTAAAGTTTTTGAATCTAGCAGAAATGGGCCATAGAGGGTAGGGGAGAAAGAGTGCCTTTTTTTTACATTTCACAGCTTTGCACATTTATACATGCTTACCTGTTATGAATCCTTTCCAGTTGATCTTTTTGTTGGGATTGGGGTAGATGGGTGAGGAGAGATGTATAAAAATAATCAGCATTTAATGGCACTCATTGTTTTAATTTCAGCATGACAGCACCATTTCAAGTATATTAGGAATCTGGGTATTATATATGCTTTTGTAGTTTGCTTGGCTAGCTTGTGTTGCTCATTCTGTGGCTAACATTTATGTTTGATGGAGAGTATGAAAGAGAGAAAGGACTGCCTTTGAGGACAAGTCCTCTGTATTGTGCGACAGTTTCTTTGAAATTAAAATTCTGCATTCATGTCAGAATATTATCTCCTTCCCCCAAGGAAATAATAGGAAGTTTAAGAGATGCATTTGGGTTTGTTCTGCTAATGATGATCATCTGCACTCCTCAGTTGGTGTTGTAGATTTTGTGGGAGATTAAAATGACATTCCAACATTCTGCTGGCATTGTTTCTAATCATCCTGAGATGAAAGCATGCCTTTTCTTGCCAAAAGTATCTAGAGAAACAGAAGATGGCAGGCCTGGAAGCCCAGAAGAGGCCCTTGATGTTGGCAGCACTCAATGGACTCTCAGTTGCTCGAGTTCCAGTGCCTGAGGATAGCCAAGATGAAGGAGCCAAGGTGCCAATGGATGAGCGGGTAAGAATAGGACTGGCAAAACAAAGCAGATTTTTTTTCCTTTTGGGGGGTGGTGTGGGGGTAGGGAGGTTGTCAGCAGTGGTCATTCTTAAATATATTATTTAAAAATACTTGGGCAATAGTATGGTTATACCCTTGTTAGCTGTAAAATTGGGATCATATATTGGATCACCAGTGCAACATGGAGAAAAATATTAGGGGAAAACATGGGGAAAAATATTAGGACCCATTTTTTAGGTCATGTAAGTCTTACCCATGAATTAGTCCATATACAGTTTTATTTGTCTCTAAACAATAGAATGCTTTTATCCTTCCTTACCTTTAAATTGCTAGTAGTAGCCTAGGTAACTCCTTCCCTTTGATATTATATCCTCAAACCACTGTACGAGGATGAATTAAAGTAAGAAAGAGCAAGTTGGAACAGCCTTTTAGATAAACACTCTCTTTTCATTTATATCTTTAATGGAAAATTGTAGTGCAAAATCTTGAGGAGGAAACTGGAAGAAGGGATGGTGTTCACTGAATATGAGCAGATTCCAAAGAAGAAGGCAGATGGATTTTTTACCACTGCCATTCTCCCTGAGAACATTGAGCGTAATCGTGTCAGAGAAGTCATTCCATACGAAGAGAATCGAGTGGAGCTGGTACCCACCAAAGAAAACAATACAGGCTATATCAATGCATCACACATAAAGGTAATGATGGGGAAAACGAGTTATGCATGGTGAAAAGAACTGTGACTAAAAGAAGTTGACATGAACCTGGGTGAGCAAAGTGCTCAGTCCTTGCTGAGATGTGGACCAAGTGGCAGGCTGGTTACAAAATCAACCTCTTGCCCTCCAGCTAATAAGTAACCCACCCCATTGTCACTAGGTTGCAATTGTCACCCAGGATTTATTACACCTGAAAATGAATTTGTGGGGGTGGGATTAAAATGTGAACCTATCTCTGTAATCACTTGGCTTCGGGGCCCCACTCATAAATACTCAAGATCGTACTATTAAAATAAGCAAAATGTATGTTTGAGCAAAACAGGCAAATGATTTTGTTGCTATATTCCTAATTTATGTGAGGGAAGACAGTGATTGCTTCAGGGCAGTGAATGAGTCTGTGGCAGAGAAAATTCCAGAATCAGAGATGTTATCTGGATTGTATTTTATTGAATATCTAAGAGTACGCTAGTACAGGGAGGCTTTTTAATATAAATTTATATCATTAGTTGGAATAGGCCTAAAATGTACTCTATAGGTTCAGGCTTTTTGAAGATTTTTGCCTCGTGCTTTTAAAAGTTTGAGCTTTAGTGGGTGATTGTTTCCATGCTGATTGACTCCATGATGGTCCTTTCCCAGAGTTTCTCTTCTACAACCTATTCTGGTGGTGGTGATTGTTGTTGTTGTTGTTACCAGACAGAGAACCTTTTTATTTCTTCAGACTCCAATGCAGTTCTTTGATTTTATTTCTGTTGTTTTATGTTCTGCTATTAAAAGGCCTTATTTATTACATTGGCAAACTCAGCTTTAAGACTATTTTCATGTTCTTAATTGATCTCCATTTTAACATTTTATGTGAGCTGCCAGTGCACCTGTGTATAGAAATCCATGGATAGATGAAGTAACTGGCATCTTCAGTTGATTTTAGATTATAATCAGGATCATCTTTCGATCCTGACTTGGCTTTATTCTTGCTTTCATTCTGCCATCTGAATCTGAAACAGCTGAACATGTGCAAAAGAAGTTGATTTAAAGGCAGTGTTTACAGCTTTTCTTACCCTATTGTATTTTCAAAATAACCCTGCCCTAAACCTAAGAAGACAGCAAGGGCAACATTTTCAAAGCAAGCCTCTTGGCCTTGTGGTATAACTGATAGTGACACTAAAAATCATTTCTAGAATAAAAGAGGTTAGAAGAAAATCATCTCATATTTCTATCTAACAATTTGTTGTCTTGCTTTTTTTAAAAAAATATGAATACATCTATTTATAATGGTAACTTTTCATTTTGGTCCAAATATTTTTTAGCTCTAACTATACTTCCTGAAATACATTTCTCTTGAGTTCCAAGAGCTGTTTGATCATAATTTGCAATACTAAAACCCCTTGTTGAGTTAAAAGCCTTCTAAATCAGAATCCTATCAGATTTCTGCCAAAAGACCTGGTGGCAAGAAGATATTGGGTACTTTTGGCACAATCTGCCTTAGCTTGGATGACTGATTACTGAATGGAACATTTTTCATCTATCTATGGGAGGAGAAATTGTTTGGGAAGGCATAATTTCACCCCATCAGGTGGCAAGGGCCAAGAAGAATTCTCCCTAGCCAGTTTTAAAACCTCATATTTCATCTGGTATATCAGTATTGGACATACACACATTGTTCTATAGCACATGTCGGGGCATATGCTGATCTGTAGTCATATACAACTCTGTGTGTTGCCAGTACATTTCTTTCCTGCACTCCAAGTGGCTGAGGCAGAAGCCAAGCAGATGTTCTTTTACTCAGAAGGTGAAACTCCATCTGCAATTTTTTTTTTGCTTCATTTACACAGCAAGTGATTTTCTCCCAGTTACCAATATCTAATATAGCTGCAATCAGCAAATATTATTTCTCCATGTTCCAGGCTATTGTTTCACTCTTACTGTATATGGATTTTTATTCCAGCCTTGTTCCAGGTAGTTGAAAATGGACTTTTGAACTGTAACCAAAACTGAACTCCCTTAATATTCTGATAAGAGTTATCCTACTGTTCATATGTTCTAAATAATCTCAGTAGTCAGCATGTTGGCTTTTTTGTTTTAACCACCATCAACATACCATCTCTGAGCGCTCTCTTTTTAAAAATTGACTCATACAAGTGCTAAAATTTTCATCTCTGGGAAAGAAACATACATTATCAGATGGAACGTAGGCCCCTGGAAACTCCATACAGATGCATTTATAGATACAGAGTAGAGTCGTAGAATGGCGCGCAAAGTGACATAAGCAGACCAATTTTTTAATCAGAAAATTTATCCAGAAAATATTAGAATGGGGAGGGATGGCAAGGAGACAATATTTCACAGGAGAACCAGAAACAAGAAGTGGCTTCATTTCTAGACTGACACTTTTTTTTCTTGCCCTAAGTTGTATTTTGTTTGTTTTGCTTTCAAATGTATATTTCCATCAAAGCTAGGCTAAGACCATTCCAATTACTTGAATATTGTTAATACATATAAGTTATGCTTTGAATTAATAGATAGAAACATAAACTTGATTTGGTGTCTGACCTTAAGAAGAGCAAAGATAGGCAGATCAGCTCAGTATGCTGTAAGCAACCATAAGAGAGTTGTGCAGTTGTGAAAGTAATTCCTTTCTCTCTTTTCCCTAGGTGACAGTAGGTGGAGAAGAATGGCACTATATCGCTACACAAGGACCTTTGCCACAAACATGCCATGATTTCTGGCAAATGGTGTGGGAGGAAGGAGTCAATGTGATAGCCATGGTGACAGCAGAAGAGGTATGTAACAGGACAGGAAACATCTGCAGTGGAACACAAACATAAGCTTTCCAGCCAGGAAAAAGTTTCAAAGGGAGGTGGACAAGCTGCATTTGAGATCAGGCTGAGCCATGTCTAAGGGAGGTGTTAAAAGCTCTGGCCATTTCCCAGGCTTATATGCTCCCCTCTCTTCCTCACATGAAGCCAAAAAGAGGAGTTAAGGAAACTTTCTCTTCCAGAAAAGATGAACTGTGAGATCCATAAGAGCCTTAGGCATGTTCTCCTTCCTCTATCCAGAGATGTCCCAAGGAGTTACAAAAGTGTCATTTTGAATGTAACAGAAAGAAGAAAAATTTAAATATATACCTCAAAGAAACCATAATCATTACACAAATAGCAGATAAGGTATCAACAGTATGAAACAATAAGCCATTGAGCACCACGCCAAATATGGAAATGAACCCAAGACATGTTATTTCTAAGTCAGCACTATTACCCAGTAGAGATTTCAAAAACATCCTAATAACTCTAGGGCTAAGGGAGATCGATTTATGTTTTGCCTGGTATTACCATTATATAGAATGTCTATGGACACAAAATAGTAAAGAATCAAATTTGGAGCAGGGAAGAAATAAGAGCTGTTAGTTCTCTAAACAATAACACAAAAACTGGGCAATAAAGTAATAATTCCTATCAAATCAAGGGTAGACAACTTACAAATTCAGTTTTTCTTGGTCCCACCTGCTTCTTGGCGTTGTGTTGAGAATAAAATAAAGGAAGAGTCGAGTATAGTGTACCTTTTGCTTCTGGAGAGAAGGGGGATATAAAATAACTACAGCCTTGTGATTAACTATAGTAGTATAAACTGATGAGGGTTGCAAAAGAAACCAACTGAAAGCCACATGGCTCACTGATAACTCTGAAGATCATCCTTAATTCGTTCACTTGAGCTGACCACTGGCCACGTTGATTTTGATACAGAGAGAGAGAGAGAAAGAGAGATGTTTTGACAACCTGGTAAGAAAATGCAAGGAGAGGACATTTGTATTTACTACATCTCTTGTCTGTCTGTCTGTCTGTCTGTCTATCTATCTATCTATCTATCTATCTATCTATCTATCTATCTATCTATCTATCTATCTTATCTATCTACAAACACACAAATTATAGACTGCCATTGACTTTGGGCAGCTTATAATTAAAAAATACAAAGGAAAAATACAAAGGACAAAAAGAAATCATGAACAGAAACTGCATAAAATCAAACCAACCCCCCACCCCCAAACCAAAACTATTAATTAGGGTTTACCTTTCACCAAAGCCAAATATTTAGTAGCTTCCTGAACAGCGTCAGGCTGGGATCCATCCCAGCAGATACCAGGGAAAAGAAGGCAGATTTCTGAGTTCCACGAGATCACACTGCTTGATCAATGAAATGCAATGATTGACCCAAATACGCCTACGGTACCCAAACTTTTATATTTTTATATATATATAAATACACACACACACTATTCTAAAAATACAAGAGTTCCAGGTATACTTATAAAAGAAGAAACAGACATTCTGTGATCTCCGGAACTTAAAAATTATATTTATTGTACTTACTAAACTTTCATCAGCCTCTGCTGACATCATCAAAGTATTAAGCTACCATACACACACACACACACATACACGTACATACATAACATACATATATACATACCAATGCTGATATGCTACCGGTCTGGTCCAGTTCTACAGAACCGATAATAAAAAAAAAAGCTTCCCACGATCCACTGAGAGGAGAAAGAAAAGAAAAGCACAGGATAGGACCTCCCACCTGCCCCTGTGCTTTTCTCTTTATCTTCTCAGCTGATTGGAGCTACAAGCTTCAGCTGGTGTGAGATAAACCATACATGTACATGCAATCACCAAACCGGTAGTGGAACAGGTAGGATCCCACTGCTGATACATACATACATTCATGCATACATACATACATACATTCATGCACACACACACAAACATACATACATACATACATACATACATAACATACATACATATGTTTTCTTAAGTTTTCGCGGGTATTTATATGTATGGTATTCAGCTTTGTTCGGGTATTTTCCCACATCATTATAGTTGTGCTTTTAAAGTTGTAGCAACATTTTGGCAGAATCTCATCTGCCATCATCAGGCTTCTGCATAGTGTTTGTCTGTTTGCACTGCTTGCAGTGGCATGAAGCCGAAAGCACCAGCCTGAGGATGGCAAGTGGGACCTCGCTGAAACGTTGCCAAGATATTCTTAATCTTACACAGGAAAAGATCTGAACACACCTAGACCTACATACCTGTACCTGTGAAAATCTACAAAAATATACGTGTGTGTGTGTGTGTGTGTGTGTATGGATCTTTGGTTGTTCGGGTTTTCTCCCGCGTAAGATTCGAAGTATCTAGGCAACGTTTCGATGAAGTCTCATTCATCATCTTCAGGCTTCTGTCTCCGGCTCTGTGCTTCTTAGAGTGATGTGAGATTGCAGCTGCTTCTTCCTTTTAACTGCTAGTGGGGGTGTGACTTGATTGGGTGGGGGCTTGGCTGTGTTCTGATTGGGTGGGGGTGTGTTCTCATTGGTAGGGGGTTTGGCTGTGTTCTGATTGGTTGGGGGGTTGGCCGTGTTCTGATTGGCTGGAGGCATGTTCTGTTCAGGTGGGGGCTGGGTTGTGCTCAGGTTAGTCTTAGTTGCTGGGGGATTTGAGTTGGTGAGCTGTGATCTTGCTGTTTGGCTTCGAGTTCGTGGTCGTGCTGCCTCTTCATAGTGGTTGTCGGTTTGCTTCATGTATGGCTCGGAGGGGTTTGAAGTGGGTAGTGATGCAGCTGCAGTGCATATAGTTTTATTAAGACTTTTAATTGCAATGCTAAAAACTAAAACAAATTAAACTTGGCAAAAGAGAAGATTCTGTCCAATCATGGGACAGGCAAAAACAACCCTAAAGCAGGTGATGTCTCAAATAATTAGTCTCCATGCCATAAATTTAATTTCTTTTTTTTTTTTTAAATTTTGAAACACATCTTCCTCTGTGTATTTGTTCTCTCTTTTGATCAGCTTGCCCTTTGTTATAGCAAGAACTGTTCTGCAGCAGGCCCAAGTTTTATCCTGCATACCATTGAGGGAGGGGTGCCTAAAATGGTTGTGCATGTGTGTCTTTTGTGCCGTAGGAAGGTCTCTGAAATAATGTGCTTGTCTTTGCTGGCCCTTTACTCTTTGGTTTTGTTTTCTTTTATTCTAAATCCTTTGAACTTCTGCCTGGGATGATTCAACCATTACAACCTTGTTTGTAACATTCTAGCTCCATTAGAAGGAGGTTGTAGCATGCCAAACAAAGCAAACAGAATTCCAGTGAATTCTGAGAATACAAAGCCACTCTTATTTGAAAAGAATGACATTCTCAGCTCATCCAAGGTCACCTATGCGTACTAGAATCCTTATCAGCTGCAAGGAGACCAGAAGCTGTTGTTCCTGTATAAAAGTATCAAGTGGGGGCGGGGGGAGTCTGCTGTTCCATGCCAAGCAAAACAGATAATCCCCAAACTGTACATTGCATTGTAAAACTGGCACGCACCAGCAACCAGCAGTCTGAATCCAGTTCAGATGCATGGATTTTACAGGCATAGAGGGTCAGCTGTTCTCTTCCCGATCATTCCCATTTTAAACATTTACAGCTATCAGCTGTTCAGAAGGGGGAGCAAGAGTCCATTAAATGCACCGTTACAGAATAATTGGGCCATGGAAAAAGTTGGTTTCTAAGCAGCCGCAGAGAACAGGACAATCTTATTACCCAGACTGTGTACATGCTGTATATATGCTGTCGAGATCTTTTTAATGAGGCAGGGAATCTTTGGAATCCCAAGAAAGTAGAAATTTCTACATAATAATTGCAATGGGAATTCATACCATGTTGAAAATGGTTTTCTCTTTAAATAAACACAAGCTGTGACGTAGACCTATGAATTCATGATAGAAAGTCTTGAACAACACACTTTGTGGCTACATTATAGAATCTAAACATACAGAAGTGTAATCTCAAGGCTATGGGGCAATCTAGGAGAATTTGAATCATTCTCTCAGTATCCTTATACCTGTCTCTTAAATTCCTGGGCTCCTCCTGCAAAACTCTCCAGGACTTCTTCAGGAAGCCTCCTAGGAACAAAAGGAAAAGCTGACCTTTCGTACCTCATTTTATGATTTAGTCAGCAGTAGATGCAGAAGATGACACCTAGACAGGGGATCAGTTTGCATTGTCGACTTTTCGGTCTCAGAACACCTTGTAGGTTCATGACGTAAAGTGTGCTTTAGCTAGAGTTCTTGATTTACCCTATAAAGCTATTTTATCTAGGTTTTTGTTGGGGGTTTTTAAGAGTTGTTTCTTCATGTAATCTTTCATTGATGTAAACTCTATTGGCAGTTGGAACAAGTTGATACAAGTTGAAACTTGTAAGGATTACTGTTCCGGAAATTGTTTTACTAATTTGTATTTCTGTAATATTTGCAGAAAGGCTTCTCTTCTCCAATGGTAACATAGAAACACTGTGTGTGTGTGTGTGTGTGTGTGTATATGCAATGTCTACATATTGTTCATTTGTTTAAAACATTTATATAGCCACCCATTTTTTAGCCAATTCTGGGCATCTCTCAATCAAAAATTTATCAAGTTAAATTTAACAAGTTAAAACATAAAACAACATGTCCCTTGTCTGTAAGTTTATATCTGCATCTACCAATCTGTTCCTTCTCTTCCAACCTACTGCAATTCTGTGACTTTGCTTCTTCTAATGCTAACACAAACTGGATCCTGGAAAGAGAAGAATAAATTGTAAGGATAATGCATTGGGTGAAATCTGTCTCCCCTCTCCCAGCCCACTCTATTACTTGCACAGAGTTCCATGGAACCTAGTCACCTCTAACTGATTATGTGCTATCAAGTCAGTATTAACTCTCAGCAACTAGATAGATTAAGTTTCTCCAGCCTCAATGGTCTTTCAGGTTTTCCATTGGTACACTCAATGCCATTGTCCATTCAGGTTCCTGCTGGTTGTTCTCTTCTTCTCTTTCCTCCCACATTTTTCCCTTTACCGGTATTAGAGCCTTTTCTAGAGAGATGGTCTTAGCATAATGTGTTGGAAGAAGGATCATTTGAGTCCGTTCATTTGTGTATTGAGTCAGATTTCTGCGTTGAGTTGTTCATTTATTCATTTGTTTGTTATCTTAGCTATATTATTATCAGGAGACTTTTCCAATTACTGAAGTTCAAAAGCATCAATACTTTTTCTACTTTGCTTCTGCAAAGTCCACATTTCTGATTATTAGACAAGTTATTGAATACAGGATCTATTGTGTATAGGGGGGCACATGTCAATAGTCTTGTGCCTGAGCACATGTATTTTATAGATCTTGGATGCTGCTAAATTAGTTGTTATTCATTCATTCAATCAGTTATTCAATTTCTATTTATTCAATTTTTGTTTCAACTCGAATGTCTTCTCAGAGATCATGCCACATATAAACACAAGATTTGTATTTTAGTAATTATATTCAATAAAGTAGAACTTGTAACTGTATATACCAATTTAAAAATATTATAGCTTAGTCAGTGGTGAGAAAAAAGTAATAGTGATATATGCAGCATTGAACGACTGTTTAACTCATTAATTTATCCTATCCTTTCTCCAAAGAAGTCTAAACAGCAAATGGAGTTTTTTACATAGCTTATGTTACTTGTATAACAAGGCTATAAGCTGGGGATGTCAAACTCCCGGTCTACAGACCGGATGCGTCACACGTTGGCCATGCCCACGCCCAGTTTAGCGAAGGGGGAAAAGTCCCAATATGTCATGTGATGCTGCTGTGACAATGTGAGTTTGACACCCCTGCTGTAAGCTAAAAGAAAATAATAACCCATAACTCTCCAGTGAACTATATGGGGCACTGAATCCCGGTGATTCTAATCTTATTCTGACATTGTAACACCTATATAATGCCAACTTAATACTTGATCTGTTTTTTTGTTTCAGTGATTGTTGCTAATTTTGTTTCTGTTTCTGTTGGGGGCGGGGTAGGAAAGAGGAAGAACCAAAAGCCATCGTTATTGGCCCAAACTTGGCTCAAAACATAGCTCAGCCACTTATGGAAAATTCAAAGTGACCACCAAATTCCGGACTGTTTCTGGTTGCTATGCTACAACGGGCCTGAAGGTCAAGCACCTATTGTTAGGACAGGAGAAGACTGTGTGGCATTTACAATACACCAACTGGCCAGATCATGCCTGTCCAGAAGAGCAAGACTTCCTTTGTAAGCTTTCCTACATATGAATGTAATGGCAATTGTGTTTTTTGGAGGTAGGGGCAGGGAAAAGGGGGAGGGAGAGAGGACTGTTAAGAAATGTTTATGAGGAAAGGTAACAAATAGATGACCATTGCATTTTCTTTATGAAATGAATCCTATTGTGTTTCAAAAATAAATGCAATAACCTAACAGAATGCATTTCATCAAGAAAACACAATGACCGTAGAATCCCTAAATAGTATTCTTACGTGCTTGTCATAATTTCCTAAGGTTTTGCTTGGCTTTTCTTAGGCCTATGTTTTTCAAACTTAGTAACTATAAGATACATGGTTTTCAACTTCCAGAATTCCCCAGCCAGCATGTAGCTCCATTTTTGGTTGTTGAAGTTCATACATCTTAAAGCTGACAAGTCTGAGAAACACTGTCTTAAATTAACTTCAGGATTAGAGGCGGGGGGGAAAACACATAATAGGCTCAGTAGCTGGTTTTCTAATTCTGATTCTCCCAAAGAGAGAGGGACTCAGATTCGACATTTCAACATATAGAATACGTAGGTGAATTGATAATGTTACTTTAAAGAACTTAATTTGCTCAGAAGTGCTGACCATACAAAGAAGTGATAAAGTTCTCAGAGCATCTCCAGCAAAAGATTCCACATTGATTGTGTAATGTGCAGAGTTATTACGAAGTTGTTCTCTTGAGAGCGTTGCCAGGGATTGCATACGATGGCATTTGATGGGCTGATGATCAGGTTGCTCTAAAATAATTTCCTGTGTACACGATATTTTAACAACCTATTTGGACACAGAAGACTCCCCACTAGAGAGGTTTGGCTGAAAAATCCATAAAGTAGCTGAAACAATTACATGAAGGACATAACATCCCTCATTCTTCCCCTTCTGCATTCATCAGCTCTTAAAGCTGAATCCTTGAGTAGACTAAGCAGTCTTGTGCCTTGTTCAGCATCACGGATCATTGTTGTCAAAGGTTCTGTCTTTAACAACTGTGATGCAGCTAAGGGCAAACCTGATGTTTGCTTGTTTTGCTGTTCAGACTTTTCACTAGGCCTAAAAATGATACTTGGAAGTCGAGAGAGTAGGGCAGAAATACTTGAAATTCAGTCCCAATTTGCAAGGTAAGGAAAGGGCCAGATGGATGGTCCCTTCCCATTAGACAGTGCTCCAGCAGGCATGTTTCTGGGGAAACTTGCTGTTGTTCTGATCCCAGCTTGTTAATCGCAGGAATTGCTGTAAGTAATGTCTGCAGTCATCTGCTTCAGGGACCTTGGGATTTGCAAAGGGTGGAAGAGTCTGTGTGTGGGTATTTTTTTAAACAGCTGATTAATTTAAAGTCCCAAGTAGTAATCGACACCCTGCTGGCACTTACTGAATTCAATGTGGTTTGCTGTCTAGAGGCCAAATAATTAGTGTTTCCCAAGACTGTAAATGATCATAACTTAAAAGGAAACTTGCTCCCCTCAACTTACTTGCCATAGTTTATGTAAAACTGCAATAGATTTGGGAAATGTACTTTTTGTTTATTCCTACCTTGCAGCCTATTTGGAAGAGATTCAGTCAGTGCGCCGTCATACCAACAGCATTCTGGACAGCAGTAATAATTGCAACCCTCCAATTGTTGTGCACTGTAGTGCTGGAGTAGGGAGGACAGGTGTGGTTATTTTGACAGAGCTTATGATTGGCTGCTTGGAACACAACGAGGTAAGTCAAAAGGTCTTCCTGAAGGTATTTATTTCGTCCCAAGAAGTGATGCAGTCCAGTGAGTGCTGTTGCAGGCTAGAGTATAAATGTATTCAAGGAAAAATCCACCAATACTAAAGGAGTCATCATATTACACTGTGCCACAAATGCAACACTCTTGTGGGTCCTTAAAAACTAACAAATGTGAATTATGTAAATAGGATAATCGGAATATATTTCTTATTGTGGCAGGAGCCTCAGTCAGCTGTCAAAGGAGCAACATAGTTTATACACACTGGCCTATGCTTTGCAAACTCACACAGAGACATGAAAAAGAAATAAAACCTAATGCTAGTGGAATACAAAAAACGGGGGGGAGGAGAGATCTTTGCAAAGCTCAAGATAAGTAAACTGACCATTCAGAACAATAAGCCATTGATAATAAGGACCTTGGAGTTCTCATATCAAATGACCTAAGCACCAGAGCTCACTGTAACAGCATTGCCAAAAAGGCATTAAGAGTTGTAAATCTAATCTTACGAAGCTTCTCAGAAATATTGAATGGCTAACTAGAGCATACAAAACTTTTGCCAGACCAATACTCGAATACAGCTCATCAGTCTGGAATCCACACTGCATATCAGACATTAATACAATTGAGCAAGTCCAGAAGTATTTCACGAGAAGAGTACTACACTCCTCTGCTCGCAACAGAATACCCTATATCACCAGGCTTGAGATTTTGGGCTTGGACAACCTTGAACTTTGCCACCTATGGTTAGACTTAAGCATAGCACACAAAATTATCTGCTACGATGTCCTACCAGTCAATGACTACTTCAGCTTCAACCGCAACAATACAAGAGCACACAACAGATACAAACTCAATGTAAACTGCTTCAAACTTGATTGCAGAAAATACGACTTCAGCAACAGAGTGGTCAATGCCTGGAATGCACTACCTGACTCTGTTGTTACATCCTCTAAGCCCCACTCCTTTAACCTCAAACTAACCACTATTGGCCTTACCCCATTCCTAAGAGATCTGTAAGGGGCGTGCATAAGTGCACCTTCGTGCCTACCATCCCTGTCCTTTTGCTCCCATTTATTCGTACCTATTTACTGTATTCTTACTCATGTTTATACTTATAACTATTACTTTGTAAGCGATTGACAAATCAAATAAATAAATAATAATTTAGCCATCCCAGAAACTTCTTAATTAGTTCTAGTTCAGCAATTTCATGGTAGAGTCTCCAGATCCCAGCTTGTAGTACAATGGGAAAAAGAGACAAATCTCTTTCTCTCCATGAATAATTTTGCATATCCCATCCCCCACTTGCCTTTTTTCAAGCTTAAAAAAAAATTAAAAGCATACTACCCAATATTTCTCTCTGTCCTCTCAAGTGGTTTTGAAGCTTGGCTTGGAAAACAAGGATATTGTCATAGATTTTGTTTTTCAGCAAATACGAAAATTAAGACTGAAAGTCAAACACTCAGCAATTAAGAGTTGGGCTGAGCCCTGCAAGTCTAAACTAGCCTGGATTTTTTCTTGCTTAGATTGAACTATGTTCTAACTAGCTTAGCAAAGCAATTTAGGCTGCTGATGATCAAATTCCACACAGCAGCATTCTTTGGTAAGGTATAAAAGTTAACAAAATTGAGAACCAGAAAACTGAGATCCTTATCTATACTTGTCTAAAACAAAGAGGGCAATCTGGTGGTTCAAATAAAAGGTGTTATATAGGACCCAGGGACTCATTTGAAAGTCCCAAGGCAACATTACCTCTCATAGTCTTCTGTGATGACCCAGAGTGTAACACAAACTTAACAAAATCCAAAATATAAATAAATGTCCTTTAATGCCTCCAATTTGGCCCCACTGTTCAATAATAGTAAGTTGGAGATAAAATGTACTCAAAAATAGTCTTCAAAAGAAAGCAATACAGTCCGAATTTAATGAGCAGATAGAGGTGAAATAAAAAAACCAAACAAACTACAATGACAAAATTTCCACAACAGAACAAAAGAAATATTTACCAAATTCAAGGAGATAACAAGGCACAGTCTTGTTATCATACCAACCAAGATAACTTCAGTCCAAAACAAAACACGCTTTGTATCAAGCGTTTGCCAGTATGCAGCTTCAAACTCTTATTCAGTTCTCACACCTGCAGCCCATGAAGAAGATCAAAGCCCTCTCCTGAGGAGACACGTTTCTCCCTTATCGTCTCCTCCCTGACTGCTCAGCTGGCCTCTGCCCTTCCCCAGCCTCCTCCACAACTTCTGGAGCCACACTTCCACTCCCTGTCGGCTGTTCCTCCTCTCCCTCAGAGTCAGTCTCCACCAGGGGCATGACAGTCTTCTATATTCTCTAGAATCCCTTTGAACTATAATACTTAAATTATAGTGTGACATAAACTGAAATTTTAAAATTCATTTGGGAGCAATAATACTGAGTGGCTAATGGTGAAGACGCTCACCTCCCATTCGGAAGGTTGAGCACTCAATCCTAGGTAGTAGCAGATGTTTCTCTTCTAGGGTGCAAAAGAAAAAAGATATCTGCTGTAAACTCTGCATGGTGTGGGGAAGGGCATCTGGTTAGTAAACTCTCAGCTCCATCCAGTTGCCCTGACTCTACCCCAAATTAAGAGATTACAGGGTCATAAAAAGGGGAGTTTATTGGGAACAATAATACTAATTGTGTTTAATTTACAGTAAGGTTAATAAATCCGATTTGAAGTTTTGCATTATCAGATTTCAGTGTGCTACTCAAAGTAGCTCTTCACCCCCAAAATAGATAAAAGTACATATGCTATGATGCTATTCAAGCATGGGGTAGAACTCTTGATGTCATTTGAACTCAGATAAGTAACCGCCATTGCCATCAATAAAGATCAACATGAATTGGCATTATATATTGTGAACTTGTTTGAAATCTCTAGGTGATGGCAATAACACTGCTTCTCATAAAGAACTTTGCACAAGGAAACTTCCTTCCTTGTAGTAAGACTACTACCTGTAACCCAAATTATGCCTCTCAATGTTTTTTATAAACTTTCAAAGCAAATATTAAGGTTGGCTAAGGGCTGCAAAGGGTAGAGAAATGGTGTTATCCTGCTTCTACTAATGAAAGAAGTTCTAGCAAGAAAAAATATAAATGGGGATGTTGAAGTTTATATTTGTGTTTTCGTCATGCTAGAATATAAATATTCAAAAGCATCTTTATGTATTCAATTTTATTGGGTTGTATGTGCAAGTGCTATCAGCACCTCTTAGTTTTTGCAATTCTTTGGTGAAGAAGGTCCAGGAGGAAGAGTGGTGTAAACATATTTATGCAGTCTTCTTCCTATATTTGCTTCACTAGTGGTTGCAGTAAGACTGCAATTCTAAATATATCTTGTTAAGCATCATTCTAATGTTGTCTTTAGATGTCTTTTTGGACTTAACTGACACATTTTAAAAAACCAGAATGGCCATTCTGAGACTATTGTTAATTATTGGATATATATTAGTTGCAGAATATGAATTGAACCATTTCTTTTCTTGCTGTGACACAGATAACAATCCTCTAGAACACAGGTGTCAAGCTTGCCCCATCACGTTGCTGTCATGTGATGCTTCATGATGTTTTCCCCATTCATGGAATTAGGGTGGGCGTGGCCTATGTGTGACACATCCGGTCTGTGGGACGCTGTTTTGACATCTCTGCTCTAGAACAAATACTTGCTAATAACTCAACGATTTACTCTTCTCATTTTTTCATTCACATGAAAACTCTTCCCATGAATAAAGAAACATCTTATGTGTCTCTGATACAATTTAGAGCACAAGAGAAATGAAACTAAATGGGCCTCTAATCTATAGAGAAGGAGAAGAATGTCCAGTTTAACTGAGGTTGATATTTCCCAAGTTGGTATGCAAACCTGAACTTAGTTGTTCTTCTGTATTTATATTTATCCTACTGTTGTGATTCCCAGAAGAAAAAGAAAGCCATTAACTGATACAGCTATGGGTTTAATGGTGCAGAGTAAGAATTAAAAAGAGAGATTTGAAGAAAGCAAATGCAAGTTGTATGAATCCTACATTGTTTTGTTTAGTTCTACAAAGATTAATATTGTTATGAATTTTCTCTTCCTCTTTGCAGAAAGTAGATGTTCCAGTGATGCTTCAACATCTGAGGGAACAGAGAATGTTCATGATCCAAACTATTGCACAGTATAAATTTGTCTACCAAGTCCTCATCTTATTTCTACAAAATTCCAGGCTCATTTAACATCTTCAAAAGAGACACTGCATCTTTTCATTCACTTATTTAGACAGCCTTTTTTGGTTTGGCTGAGAATTGCCCTACTACAAAGCTTCTTGCTTTGCAGTATTTTGTGACACCTAATCAAAATTGCTTCAATGATAAGGACACTTTGTTCTTCTTGCAGATGATTTTATATGAAATAATTTATTTTTTTTAATGATGCGTGGACTTTCTTAATTGGTGGAATGTGGGGTGCCCTTAAAATTATGGAACCACATTTGACACATTTCTTTATTATAATCTGTCTTTAGGACGGGAAATAATCCTATCTGGAGAGGTTCTCTTGACCATTGCATTTCTATATGACTTGCAAGGCAGCTTTGCTATTTTATTGTATTCTATTTTATTTTTGTGAAAAGAGTATTTAGCAATCTGTTTTCAGGGCTGTGCACATAGAAAAAACCCAACTTAAAAAATATTTGACTTTTGTTCAAATTTAAAAGCAGATGTCTGTCTATAATATTATTGAAAAGGAACAAGCTTTTGCCCTCTAAAATACATGCAGTGCCTTACAAAATAGCAGTGGGATTTCCAATAAGCTCAAGAATCCAAAGGTTCAGTACTAAGCAAGTATGATCATACTGGTAGTACCTTGATGATGGATAGTAGCAATATTTAAAGCTATAAAATAGCTGAAATACTGGAATGAAATCTTTTCTAAGAGATTTTTTAGGGTCTGAGTGAGATCTATTCAATCCAAAGTCCTAAGTTGATGCTGTATCTTGAGTCTGGAAATTGCCCTGCACATGATGTGAAATATCCACATCGGGAGTTTTTCAAGTCAAATTATTCTTTGAATCATACAGAGTAAATATGAAGATCTTTTTCTATATTTTGGTAGAACCTTTCTATATTTTGGTAGAACATTGGACATATTTTGGTAGAACATTCTGTTGGTGCATGCTGATAGTGGCAGAGTCATCCTTTCTGTGACTTCTTCTCTGTTCTCTTCTAAGGGAGAGGTATATATGGAGAATGATTGTGTAACTCTTTTTAGAAATCTTAATAGGTTAACATGCAAAAAGCTGTTTAGGTTAATGTTGTGTCCAATTACCATAAGCCAATAACTACCTATAGCCTAGGATAGCAGGTATGCGTTCAAAGTGTTTTAAAAATATCCATTTAAATGAATAGGAAATGCTGACGGTTACTGATTTAGTGTTGCTTGCAAATGAGAATGTTCTAGTGGTTTGGGTATGTGCCCTAAGTGTCTTCAGGCTCTAAAAACCCCTGTAGGGTTTGTATCTGCAGGCTCTGTTGTGTGGCTGCAATGCATTTCTTGGATTCATAAATAATTTTTAAATATCTCCACATAATATAATAATTATGTTGACTTTTTATTTATTGTCTCTGAAAAATCAGGTGAGAGATAGATTGTCATGTACAAAATCTATGTTGTCGCTAGGACTTGACAGTGACTTGATGGTACATAATCATTGATCCATTTATCTCAGTAGCGTCCACTCTGATTTCCCATCGCTCTCCAAGGTCCTGATTCAAATTATTTCTCCCCTCCCACTGAACAAAATAATGTTTAAAATAATATTCGACACCTATGTTTTATCTATATTTATATGGGTAATCCTTGACTTACAACCACAATTGGGTCCAACATTTCCATTTCTAAGGGAGGTAGTTGTTAAGTGAGTTGCGCCTCATTTTAAACCTTTTTTGAGATAGTTGCTGAGTGATTCATTTCAGTTGTTAAGAGAATCATTGCCATTGTTAAGCAAATCATGCAGTAACTAAGTGAATCTGGCTTTCCCCACTGCTTGTTGGAAGCTGGCTGGGAAGTTTACAAATGGCACTCACATGACCCCAGAATAGTATAACTGTCATAAATATCTGCCAGTTGCCAAGTGCCCAGATTTTGATCACATGACTATGGGGACTATGGGGATGCTAAAGCAGTTGTAAGTGTGAAAAATGGTTATATGCCATTTTTTCAGTGCCATTGTAACTTGAAATGGTCACTAAATGAATTGTAGGAAGTGAAGAGGTTGAGGGAAGAGGGAGTTTCCTTTGCACTCACAAGAGATGTAAGTCCAGCCCTCCTTGAATTCTGTTGACTCTTCTCTACTTCCAATTTGCTTTGACCTTTAGTAGTTCAGATTCTTGTAAAGAGCATTAGCATGCAGTCATTTGAACCACCTTGACTCCTGATTTCTTGCACCTGACATGAATGGCTGTAAGTCAAGGACTACTTGTACTATATTTTAGATAGTATAGTATATAATTTTTTTAAAAAAAAAATCTGCAAGATTACTTTGTAGGGATTAAGCCTACAATCTTGACTATATGTTTCTGGGAGCAAGTCCCATTGATCTCAGAAGGATTTGCTTTTAAGTATATATGGATTAGGCCTAAATTATTTCACTGCCTTCACATGTTGAATCTAAATAATTAATTCACCCCAACCTTGCTAAGAAAAAGACAGAATTCAAGCCACCTTAAATGTTTAGGAAAAGAATATATAGAGAATGTCTTCTGTTGATGCTCCTTTGGAGACTCTTACTTCTTTAGTGTGCAGTTTCCAGTCCAGCATATCTTTGCCAATGCCAACATATCTCTTGTTAAATTAACTGAAACCATTTAAAGTCTTTTAGTGGCATCTGCGTGATAATTGAACAGAGACGCTTTGCATCTGGGAAGCTGGCCAAGGAATAAACCTTGAAGCAAAGTGTATTAAATTAGTTATCTCATTATAGTTTTTTGAATAATTTTCTAATGATGAATTAAGTTTGAAACCAGAGCTGTCAAGTCCCATTGCTCTATTTGGCCTGACAGGTAGGGAGTTAGAAAGAGAAAACAATCCCCTCCAAGGTCTGATTACTCTGAGATTTAGGATGTGATCAGTATAGTCTTGGCTGTTCTAGAAATATGCAAACCAAAAGAAGTTATTTAATAAGCAGACATAATGGATACTAAAAAAGGAAGTGCTGATGAGACATTGCCAAGGCTTTTTGTCACGATGTCTACCTATCTTGCACACAAGGGAAAACTTTTGCAGTTAAACACCAGTGCCCAAGACCAAGCTACTAATATTAATATAATAAAGAACTATTACTAATATAAATAAGGAACCATTTTCACACTATGACTACAAGGAGGATGGTGTTCAAAGAAAAAATTTAAGACTTTTAAGACATATTATTTTAGTGTGATTTTTATACTAATGTTGACCTTAATAAGCTTAATTTTAAAAAAGTTTTGCTCAAATTTTAATGACCCTCAGCATCAGAAGCTTTTTTATTTTGTTAATATTTGAAGAATCAAAATTCAAATATTATTTTAAGTGTCATGCTTTAAAGACAAAACTGATATATTAATGATCTTAATGATTTCAAGAATGAACTCACTTCAAGAAATATATCCACAGATAGTTTGTGAAAAAGCAACTATCATTAATCTCAGAATATCATAATGCTTCAGAGGACAATGCTATAGTCCCTGTTCCTGTACTGGATATAGAGAAATGAATGGAACTTCAATTGCAAGCAGGCTTTAGAGTAAGACACTTGTATTCAAATGTATTAGTGAACATAAAGTTGAAGTATGGTCTTATATTCGCTTTCCTAGAATTTACATAGATTTATTATTCACCCCAGTTCTGAGATAAAATTTCACCTTAGCCAATGTATGGCCTGTGGAACCAAAATTCTGGTTTAAATTAAGTAAGTTAATTTCAGAAAAATACAGGTAAAATTATAATGTTCCTCTTGTGCATTAATATAAACAATAATTAAATATGAAATTGTATAAAAAATAAATAGGCAATATTGATATATCATTGCAAGCAAATTAATATTGTGCAAAAATGACAATATCTAACAATGTGCACTTTATAATCTTTCTCCCCAACTACGTAATAGAAGGATCTTATGGCCCATGAAAGCATGTGTTTAATGGAAGCAATTGGCTTGGTTGTGCTACTCCTTAGATCAGGGGTCTCCAACCTTGGCAACTTTAAGACTTGTGGACTTCAACTCAATAACTTAATAAGTTATAAAGTGTATTACTGTATAATGCAGGTTTTATAATAATGACATTGAAGCCTACTTAATTTCCAGACAGTTATAAATGATCTGGACCAGTATATCTAGAATATTTTTTCTTTCAAGGAATTGCTCTGAACTTTTAAGCCTTTTGCATACCTGCATACTGCTGCACAGTAGGAAAGTAAATAATTGTCAAGTTCTTGTGTGATTTCTGAGAGGAATCTTTTGAGTAGTTAATGAGACCTTGTGTCAGATTAGTAAGATCTCGTGCTAAATTAATTACATCTTGCAAGATTTCAATGAATCCCGATATTACTCCTATCATGCCAAATATTTCCTTACTATGTTTTTAGTAAGCATGCCTGCTGCATTGCCTACTCATGTTTAAAACCCTTTTTTCTGAAAAGTCTACCAAATGTTATACTGCGGAGAATTTCCTGAGAAGGAGGATTTTCTATTGAGGTGCCAAGATTTCACAACTCCAGGATAATAGCTTGCTCTTTTCTGTCCAATTTATACTAGCGGCATTCCTTGAAATAACAAACAATAAATAAACCTGGCAGTCATTTGTTACTTACACATTTTTATTTGCAAACTCATGACCTTTTTTGATGTGTAAAATTGGAAATGTATTTCAGGATGCTGGTGTTTCCCATACCTAACACTAGCATCCTGAAATACATTTCCAATTTTACACATCAAAAAAGGTCATGAGTTTGCAAATAAAAATGTGTAAGTAACAAATGGCTTTGTTCCCCCCACTCCTACCCCCTTCGAGTAGTTTTTTTACTCCTGGTGATCTGGACAAATCCCTGTCATTTTCTTGGCAAGATGTTCAGAAGGGGTTTGCCCTTGCCTGCTTCCTAGGGCTGAGAGAGAGTGGGACTAGAACTTAATGTCTCCCAGTTTTAAGCCTGATGCCTTAATCACGACACCAAATGGCACTCTCTTAATTTTATGTTGTATTTAATAAAGTGGTTTAGTACGTTTTGAATTATCTTTGCAGGTCTCTTGATCAAAAGGTAAAATTATTCCCATAAACATCTCTGTTGCCTTGTCACATATAGCTTCTGCCATAAGCATTACTACCCAAAGTTGCAACTAAAAAGGCATGACTAACTTGTAAATCCAAAACACTAAGATAAGGACAGTAGTTACTGGAGATACAGACAGACCTTTTCAATCTTACTGTATTCCTAAGATCATTCATGAGGGATATATATACAAAACCATGCTATTTAGCTTTTATGTTGTAGCTAAAATTTCTTGTATCCTTTCTAGATTATGATGACTAGTTATTGATGGTGACATTGGTTGCCTGAATATATTCCTTCTGGGCTTTCATATTTTGGTAGCAAATTTCTACACTCACATTGTTTTTCCAAATCTAACTTAAATATTACCCACACCCATAAAGTGTATCCTACAACACATCATTTCTTAAATAATACCAGAAATCATTAATAAGTAAAAATTCACTTAAAATTTCCTACTACCTTGAAGACTGAGATTCCTCTATATACTGTAAGTGCAGTTAACATTGATTGAAAACATGACATCAAATCAAGCTGTTAATCTGTTTTTAAATAAATACTATATACTGCCCATTATGTTTCAGACATTCATGGAATACAGCCTACATTTAGAACAAGGGCTGCCACAATTATGTATCTACGTGTGTTTAAAGGTTGGAGTTACCATGCATTTTTCCTGTACAATACTGGATGGGGTTTCCTCATCTGGACTCCATTGTGCATCACATTTTCAGATCATGTAACCCATTCGTATGATGATGTAGATATTTTTTAGAACGCCTTCTTACGATATATTCCACCGTAGCACCAAAGTGTAAAAAGAAACATATCTCCAAACCTTGTCCTCAAATAATTGTTTATACATTTGTAGATGCTCTGACCTTGCACTGAATTCTTTCAGCTTTTTTTTAGTGTTGGCTGTGCAAAATACAAATGAAATTGATATTAATTGTTAAATAATTAGGATATAATCATGCTCCATAATAAGAGCGTTATTTTAACTCATATTACAGCTTTGCACTTTCATTAAGCTTATACAGCATAAGTGAATCTGCGATTAGTCTCAAATTCAGTGATTCTATGGATTTTTATAACAGCATTCTCTATTTCTTTAGCAAAACAAGAAAAAGGTCTCCTGTAATCCAAAGTATGGTTTCAGCTGGGAAAGATTTCATCCACAAGTTAATTTAATGTAGGAAGTTCTGTTAAAGACTTACTGACAATGGTTCCAGCTTATATAAATTAGTAAAGGATGAACCCCCCCAAATTGCAAGTATAAGTCTAGACTATCACTTTAGCCATATTTAGATATATCACCATTAAGTGTTCGAAACATAATTCACTTTAGGGATTAACACTTTACAGTTAAACCACAGAAATAAACCACATTGAGTTTCAGCTTTAGGCTTCATATCACAGGACAAAAAGGAGCCATTTGCAGCTCCAGAGTTGCCAACAATCCCTTGTTTTATGCTCCCCCTCCTCTTTAGCACTGCTAAAATTGGCATAAATCTAATATTTGGGAAAGTGTAAAGCAAGTTATATGAATGACTTAAAAAAAAACCTTCCAAAAGAAGAGAAAGAAACTCTTAACCTCTAAAACATGTTGAGAGGTATTCCTAGCTGCTAAAAGATAGCACAGCCCTCTGGCCTAGAAGCCCTTTGCCTGATAGATAGGTAACGTTGTCTCTGGCCATTGCTTTGTAAGATGGTAGAACATTGGG